CCCTCAAGGGCCAAAAAAAAATGTTTCCCCCCCCCCCCCCCCCCTCTTATTCCTCCTAAGAGAATGGTTTATATTTATTATATCAAACATTTTCTTGTTATGGAAATCAGCTGCATATATTTCAGGCTGAGGATCGGAGTGCTTTTACCTCTATTACCCTTTGAATATAGTAGTATTAATAAATAGATGAGCATCACGAAGCAGCATTACCTGTGTTGTTTAATTTCTCTTTGCTAGCAAATGTTTGCCTGCCACCGCTCTCTGCTTTTACGAGCACATGTATCAATGCTCTGAAAGGTGCGGTGTTTCAGCGCAACAACAACGATGCTGCTATTTTTCTCTTCTGTTTTCGCCACCAACATTACACCAGTGCGTGCGGTATTTCAGATGCATTTTGGTACGGATCTTTTAATTAGTGTAGGGGCAGATAATATTAGCTGTTTTTGTGCCATCACTGGAACACGCAATGTCAACGGATGTGCAGTTGCATATGGGAGAATTATGGTGACATGGTGTTGCATAAAATTTAAAAAAGAAGCATTTTGTATGTGCTTGACCTGACATTCTCAACCGTCTCAGCTAGCAAGACTAACCATGCTCTAACCTTTTAACAATGTTTCAAATGTTTACCATAGTTTTAGCATATTATGATTGATATGATATGATATGATTTCGATTATTCCTGCTGCACTATGGCCAGTAACATAGTGTCTAAATTTTGCTTAATTTCAGTTCGAAAAGGGCAGTTGTCATCATTCCACAGCAGCACGTATTCTAACTCGGTGGTGCAGTTGCAGTAATAGTAAAATAGTTAAGAGAACTTTAGAGACATTGAATTTAATCAAGTCTATCTATTACGATGAAAATCCGTAGGGCGCGATCTAGCTTGCATGGTGGATTATACAACGTAGCAAGTTGAATGTATAACGAACATTGTTCAAAGTACTATTAGGCCTATTAATTGTTTGTGATAAAACATGCACGCCTGTAGATGATCATGTTATCTTCACAGAACGAGGAATAAAACTACTAAAATTCCTCCTACATACATTTTTTACTGAAATATCATGTACTAAACAACCTCGTCCTTTCACCTTTTAGCTCGTGGTGGGCCTTTTACAATACTTAACATCAATACTACGTAGACTATGTTACACGGACAAAACTTGAGCACGCGCCATTCATGACACCAAACGTAAGTACACGTACCGTACAATGTTGATAGTGAGGACTGCCTTTGCTGGCACCATGTTTAGATTGTCTTCACTAACAAACTCTTATTTTTCTCATGTACAATGTTCATATTGTCTTCTCTAGCACAGTCTAACTGTTGACTTCATGGCTTACTCTTCACAGATCTAGATTTGCTAGAACCACGCTCCTTCTTAGCTGCCAGTGGATTATCTGACAATGCACTTGTTTCCACCAAAGTTAACATTATACGCAGATATCTCAATTTCAATCTAATTACGATACAGCGTAATTTTCAATAGAAAACGCCTGAAAATGCTGAAAATAAAAGGTATTGATTTTTATTGAAAGACAAAAAAAAAAGAAAAAAAGAAAAAAATGCGTGGGTGTCAAAGCATGTACCACCCGTGGATTGGTTATTTACTCTGTTTACTCATTATCGGTATTACGTAAATTTTATCTTGCAGGTGTTTTATGGTTGGTGTATTTCTCTAAAATCTAATCCTTGTTGTAAAAGTGTCAGACGTATATCACGTTACCCAAAATATTAATAAACACCACTACATGGCGTACACTGTAGTAACGTAATCCTTGAGGACATGAATCACATTTACATGTAGTATCATAAGGCACCGAGGCGTCCTAAGTCCATTTCATTGATCACGGTATAAGGAAAGTTGTGTGCTGAATTTTATATCAGATTATTCACTAAAACTACATGCAAACATTTAAGTATCTGTAAAAAACTGTTGTGCCTCTAACAATCAAAATTTATATGATCTTTAAAAAAACACATTTCTGCAACATAAATTGGGGTTTAGAACATTGACGGCGTTTCCCTTCTACCCGCCTTAATATCTTTGTCGCTGCTTCAGTGATGACGGCCACCATGTACTGGCATGACTGAAAGTGAACGTTCGGACATTGTTGGCTCCGTAAAAAAAGTGACCAAGCCGGTTATTGTAAATAGGTTGATCCATTGGCCTAGTCCTAGTTTTTACAGTAATTAGGGTGTGTTAATTTAAACTTTCCGGCGGAACTTGCAGAATGCATTACGCTACAGAAGGGATATGCAATTATTCCTGTCGTATTTAGCTCAAAAATCGGGAAAGGAAAAACCATATTTTCAGCAACATCATGACAAATTACCTGTCAGAAAAACAATGAATTCCAAGCTCAATCAATCCAACTTGTTGACTTTGGAATTTTTGCACAAATTGACACTTGTACCTTATTTGAAAATCAGCGTTAATTTTGTTTCTTGAGAAGTCCAAATTTTATCAAAATCTGCGGATTCTTGTCAACTAAATCATTTCAATATCGGTCCTCCTTCAGCTGTAACTAGGCATATGAAGAGGCGGATTGTGGCTACTTTTTGTTAACCTTAAGAGTTACGGGCACCACCCAGTTGTTCGTGCGTTTGATGAGAATAAATGAATAGCATATCACTGCTTCTCTCATACCAAGGATCAATTGATGGGTCTGATTTACCGCGTCCATAACTGAAATACGTATTTGACGTATGATGCAATTAAACTCTTGCTATTTGCACAAGGGAAGTCATATTGTACCCTATTTAAACATTCAGGAGAGCGTGTGTCTATAAAAACTTACGTTAGAAGGATTTTTGTATTAAAGTTTGTTCGTAGAAAGAAAGCTACGGCTGACCAGTTGCGCTCAGGATATTCGACGATTTCGGACACGTTGAAGCGGGCGTGAGATTTTCAACTATGGGAAAGCCAACAAACGGATTTCGCGTCTTGGTCACGACATTTCTTCTGCTAGCACTGATTGCAATTTGTAATGCGGTAAGGTGACGACTTTCCCTCCTTTTATTTATAATATATTTTTCAGGAATAAGATAAAGCTGTTAAAGATTTATTTTTCGATCTTGATTATTTCTCAATCAACATGTTCAACAGTTGCTAACGATCTAGACAACAAAATACGAGCGGTATTACGGTATGTATGTAAATCTTATACGTGAAAAAATGAAAAAAAAAATTAATCAAAAGAGAAGTTTAAGTATTCTATACGTTTTTTTCCAAACTTTATTTTTCCGGAAAAGCAAATTTCCCTTCTCACGAACCTTTAGCCGTCCCGTTACAGCACTTGGATTCAATTTTTTGTGACATTTTTAAACAAAACAACTTAGTTCTTTCTTAACAGCTTAGTTTTAAATGTACCCCGATTCATTAAAACTGATATGACATTTCAAAGGGAAGAGAAACATCGACTTCAAGTGCTTTTCTTTTAAGAATTTTATCGTTCTTGAGATCTTAATTGAGAAAGAGTATCATCTTTGCATGACATTGAGACAAAGAAATATGACTTTGAGACATTTGAAAACGTGTACAGTATTTATTAATTTATTTATTTATGAGCATGACATATTATTGTTTTATTGTGTGACATTGGAATTCCAGCTATCGTTGGCCGAAGCACAAGAGGAAGAGAAGAAACTGGAGGAATTAATGAGGGTATTTTTTGTTTTTCTATACCTTAAATTATTATTTTATTTTCATTTTCTTGCTTGGAAAATTAGTATTACTGGAAAACATTTTTTTATGATTGATAATTGAAAAGAAAAGCATACCGATACGTTGATGTTTCTGAATCATTTCTACGCATTTCTACGCTTAGAAAAAACCTTATGAAAAATTGTAGCATTATATTATCTTATATGTACTTAAAATAATTATTTTTTGCGGCACTCTTTTCAAATCTGATATCGATGTTGGCTATAGGAATTTGCGAGTGCTTCTTTTCACAAACGGCACATACTTAATAAATTACTAATCGGTTCAATTTCTCACCTATCACTTGATGAATGGTCTTATTAAATCAAATGAATTAGTCGACACTCAAAATCAGGGACACCGTTTGACTGAATACAAACAGTATCAGTGTAATAAAGTCATAAACTGAAATTGATCTACTTTTATCAACTTAGCCGTATTTACAGTAGACCCCGTGTAATGATAAAGGCGCGAATTGGGCTTAATAGTCTCCAAGGCGGCTCCTTCTTACTTATACCATGAAGAATAGGAAAATAATCATGTTGTCCTGATGAAGGTAACCTCAGTTCACCCGTTGTTGTGGGTAAGCAAAGTCGGATCATCAAAAAATTTCGAGTTTCCATTTTCATATATACCAATTTATCAAATCAAAACGAAACTCCTCCTCACCCCCCCTACCCGTTAGACCCCATTTCCATAGATTTTAGATCGATCTATCCCTGTGGGGAGTCTCACTAGATTACTGTCAGCTTAGCCGGCTTTTAAACGTCTGGCCCGCCTACTAAAAGCTGTAAAAGGGTAATTAACTATGGTGCGCGCTCGGCTGACTGCAATTTAGCGTTAACCCCCAGGGAGTTAGGTCGATCTAAATCTTAATCACTGGATCGATCTAAATCTCTGGGAATGCACCCTAAGGACTGAATCACGATGTATGAAAGAGTTGACTCTGGCATGGGTTGGCTGGGAAAACAGGGGAAGGAGGGAGGGGGGAAGTGGGCAATCGGTACGGTTTGTCTTTTAAAATTCGGGCCATTTCAGGTGAAGAAAAACAAGCCTGGAAAGAACAAACCTCGATTATATGCTACACAGCACCAGGTAGAGACCCTCCCCGGTCAGTTCGAAGGCGACTTGTTGATAACACCAGAACAAGCTGAACGCATTAAACAAGAAACAGGCAAAAATGTCCCCGCTTTTTTTCGCAAGAAGAGGTCATACGTCGCACAAAAGAGAAAAGCAATGAGAGACACCAATAGCCATTGGAAAATGGGGATTGTGCCTTATGTGTTCAGTTCTTCTATAGGTTTGTCCGAATTTAACATTTATTGAAACTTGTGTTTGTCTGAATATTTACATGTGAATCTTTCAGTCAAAATGATTTGACGCCCTGGTGAACATACTTTAACATATCTAGCTAATACCTTATTTTCACTATTTGTAACAATAAATTAAACCTTTTACAACGAAAACAATTTTTTCTATTTTCTATTATTTAGCTCCCCAGGGCCAAGAAAATATCAAGAAAGCCATGAAGCACTGGGAAGAACACACGTGCATTCGTTTCAGGCCTTATACAAGTGCCCTGATGCAGTGGCTGCAACATGATGATTATGTAGACTTCTATAACGGGACCGGGTATGTATGATTTCATCTTCCTAAAAGACAGAACAGGTAAGTCAATCCTTACTAAATGGGTTGCTGTAAACCTACGATCATGATGAGCGGTCCCCTATTCTTAACTACACTACATGGTATATAAAAAAAGGATGTGAATAGCGAAACTGCGTGTATTTGGAAATACAAAGTGCAGGTACGAAAACAAAGATGCGTGTCATAAGTGAAAAATAAAAGAACTATTTACTGACTTAATAAAGGTGAAAGAAAAATAAAACTGGAATTTTTAAAATATTTTAGGTGTCACTCTCACGTTGGTCGAATTGGTGGAAAACAAGAAATTTCGATCGGCCTATATTGCGATTCCATGGTAAGTGTATTAAATTTGTTGAGGTCGACAATAATTTTAAGTAGTATCGTTTAAGCGCATTCAGGACATGTTCTAAGCATATAAACCTAATTATTTACCATACACGCAACGACACGCCTTGGACTGTCACTTATCTCGACGTTTCGTGGGAATTTTGTTGACTTAGGTATTTCTATTTTCTACTCATCCATCTCGCCTTTACGTTCCAAGGGTCTGTTAATTTTAACGGAATTACTACTAATGTTAGGTTATAGAATCAAAAGGAATGAAAATAGAATCAAAATAGAATCAAAAGGTTGACAGTTTTGCATTGGAAATTGTTGAAGCAAAAAAAATTCAGTTATGCTTTTCTGGCTCCTAGCCCAAGATATGCCTCTTTTGTTTCTTGTAGGAAAAGTTTCTCATGACAAAAAAAAAAATTTTTTGGGGGGGCTTTTTTACGATTTTACGAGTCTTATTTTAATTATATCGATCTCAGTGCATCTTTTCATATTTTCAGTTGGGTACTATAGTTCATGAGATTGGACATGCTTTGGGCTTCTATCATGAACAATCCAGACCTGACCGAGATAGTTTTGTCAACGTAAAGTTAGAAAACGTGTTACCTGGCAGAGCCGGAAACTTTGAAAAATATGGCCGCGATGAAATCAACGATGGAAATGTTCCCTATGATCTTGGCTCGGTGATGCACTACGGCAGCAGCGTAAGTATTGAGAAAATATTTGCACTGAGAGAGAGAGAGAGAGAAAGAGCAAAAAGGAGCAGAAATGTATTTGGAATTAGCACAATCAAACTGCAATCCATCCTTTGACCTGAAATACATGTATGTTTCCTCGGCTTAACTCTTGCTTACAGAATGAAACAAGCTTTATATGAATTTTACGTTTTCTAATGATACATTTATTCTAACTTATGATTAATAAAAGGAATTTGCCAACGGTGACAAGCTGACTGTGGAGACACGTGACAAGGAGATGCAGAACGTGGTCGGACAAAGAATAGGACTGAGTTTTTACGACATCAAGCTGGCTAACCAAATGTACAAATGCGATGGTGAGTTCACAAGAAATATTCGTTTTTATCTTTTAGATTTTTTTCTTGAGTCGCCGTACAATGAATAACAGTTAATTTCTCATAAATTGCGTTGTTTCTCATTATTAACTTCTTAATCTAATTTGATGTATAGAATCAAGGCATGTGAATAGAAAAACTGCGCAGTCTGTTGGTATGAGAAATGACTCTAAACTATGTATAAAATCATTTTCAGCACACTGTAATTCCAACATCAAGTGTGAGAACGGTGGGTTTATTGGTCCTGATTGTAACTGCAAGTGTCCACACGGACTTGGCGGGCCATTCTGTAACGACATCAACAGAGCGGACGTCCGTAAGTTAATCCGAATTCCGAATTACCGAATAAGGCAAACTGTAACGAAATACAGTTATCCAGCGGACGATATACAGTGCAGCTCGACGATGTGTGTGTGTGTGTGTGTGTGTGTGAGAGAGAGGGAGAGGGGGGGAGAGAAGAAAATTATTGCACACTATAGGCTAAACAAAAATTTACCTTTATTTACACAGCAGAACTGAAAGAACGTAGTCATGAAGCGGTATTTTTTCTTCTTTCACTTCTATCTATCATCATTATCGTCATATCATTTGGAAAAGCTAAACTGTTCTACTTCTGAAGGTAGATTTGACCATATTTGTTTGGTTTGGTCTATTTATTATTATGTGTAATGGATGCCGATATCTGTTATATCTGTTTTGTTAGTTAATAAAATTTGTAATTTATGGATAATCAAGAAAGAAATTAAACTAATTTTAAATTAACTTTTGCAGCATGTGGCGGTGTGTATGCTGCCAGTGAAGGTACAATTCAAACTCCTAACTTCCCTAGCAATTACATGGATTCAACAACATGTTACTGGCTTATTAAGGTGCGATTTAAGTATTCTTCAATTATTTTAATTAAAACTAAATCGAGTCACAATACTGATATATTTATGTTATATTCGCAAATATGATCTGTCTGATTAATGCCAGCTCTACAGATATCAAGCGTCATATACAGATATGCATCAGCTGAAACATAGTTTGTCCAAAAATAAAGCTTGATTTTAATATTTTTTGACATTCTTTAATAAAAGATAACATATTTGTTAGTCAAAATTTGGTGCAAGAATGTGCCTTAACAGTGTGCTGCGACAAACGTTTTGTTCAGCTGAATATTTTATTCTTTTCATAGGCCCCCATCGGATCTAAAATTCAACTGACGTTCCAACATTTCGACATTGAACTAGACCAGCTTGACAACGGACGCTATGAATGCGGTTATGACTGGGTGGAAATTCGAAAATATGGACCTGAAAAAGCAGGACCAAGGTATGCACTGTTCAATATGTCTGCAATAACGAAATTGAAATGAAATGATATAGGGAAACACTGAATGAAGGAAAAAATAATTAAATCACCGAATTGAACAATATAATGCCAAACACATTAGCTATAGTCAAGATACAGTACTTGTCAACTTAGGGACTCCTGTATAATCTGCAATTGCAATAAATTAATAAATAAATAAAATTAAGTTAGTCAATTAATAAACAGCATTATACATATAAGATATTGTCAAGATATTTGTTTATCCAAGAATCACACAACACATGAGAATTTCAAGTTCAGTAGTATTATTTTATTAAGAAAGAAAAAGCTTGCAGAACAACAGGGAACTCTCTGGGGAGTTTATGTTGCTGACTGCGTCTTCAGTTCTATTATGTTTTCACAGGTTCTGCGGTAGGCAAAAGGAAGGACAGACAGAAATCTACAATGTCAACAACCTTCTGATTAAGTTTGCCTCAGATTCTGATTACAACAACCAGGGTTTCCAGGCAAAATATAAAATCATACCTGGTACACAAGGTAGGGAATATGTCTGTGTGAGAAATATCAGGATGTAAGAAATTTATAAACCTTAAAAAATTTCCTTTAAATTTATCGAATCTTACATTTCTTTTATTTTTTATTTATTTATTTATTTTTTTTTTTTTTTGGGGGGGGGGGGGGGAGGTACTACTGGAAAGTATACAGAAACCCCACCCCTCTTCACCTTTTTATATTTAAGTTGCCAGTCGGTACTGTACTAACCAATTTTCCTTTTATAGCTTTTGTCAGTTTGGTCATGAAGTTATATACTTTGCATTTAATGTTATTTCTGATAGTTAAAAGGGCATCATTTGCTTACATGTTTATGTTCAATTTCTTATCCATTATTAAGGGAAAAATAAATTATCTTTTTAAAACATGTACATATATGAGTATGTATCTCTTTATTTATTTATTTATTTTTATTTATTTATTTGTTTTTAGGAGCAAGTGCTGGAGGTTGGACAGCATTCAGTGCCTGGACACAGTGTCCTGTCACCTGTGGTGGTGGAATACAGGTACGCATGCGTACCTGCCTCCCCCCTGGCAACACCTGTCCCGGCAAAGATTTGGAATTTCTGAGATGCAACGTTAACCCTTGTTAAGGTATTCATTTCTGCCAAGGGATAGTGACAAGGAACTACATGAATTCTGCACTTTCTCAAAACGATATGTCACTTAACTACAAGATTTTGTTGTAGAAATCGGTTTTTTCTATCTAGATTTTAAGTGTACAAATCGAAAATCTCATTATTTCAAGTGAAAAGTGTGACTATTAGGAGGGCATGAAGACTGATACTGTTCCGGGTGTGGCACTAGTGGTACCTACAATGTTTTTATATACCTCCAAAATTAAAAGATGGAATCAAAGCCTCTGACATTTTCCACATTAAATTACGCCCGTCATATGGTACATTTAGTAGTGAAGAATAAAATTAGTTCTGCAAGAAAAAATTATCCTATTTGACTCTCATTTATTTAGTCCCAGTTACCATTAATACATATATATTTGCATCACAAATTTAGAACATCCATATAATATTAATAATAGAAGAAACTTTAAATATCAGTTGCCAAACATTTAATAAAAGATAAGATTGTAAGATTCTACAAATAATATTTTTTTCAGATTGATACATCTTATTTGTTAAAAAAACAATAGTTACAAACTACTCTTCATTAAAATAAATACCATTTTGTTGCATTTCAAAATTGCATAAAAATTTATGTATATATTTTAAATTGTTACTTCTTTAATGATATGCATTCAATATGTACTTTACATATAGCACCAAGGTTGCTTTGTACAGCTAATGCACAAATATTACACAAAAAAATTGAGATTACCATTTTTGTAGCTCTCTGGATATATAAAAATGCACAAATTTATTCTTCAGCTTGTATATACAGGCCTTCCCAACTACCAGACTCGGCACCTACGGGTCCAGAATAAACCGGTATATCTGATCACACTACCCGTTTTCAAGGTGTGTGTCAGATCGCATTAAAGAGTATCATACCCTATCACAAATTCTGTAAGCCTACCTGTCATCCGGGTATCGCGCCTCGTTTTCGTCAAGTAGGAGTCGTATGAATACAACAGACGACTCCCTCAATCAGGGGGTGGAAACGCGCTACTTATATGATTAATAAGACGAGCCTAGCCGTCAGTACCGGTTATTGTTTTGTGACCTTGAGGAGCAATTAGATTTGGTCGTTGCGGCACGCATGAACAGTAGTTGAACTTCCACACCTGGGTCTTTTGTTTTTGACAACTGTTCACTCGTCATCGAGGCGCTTGTTCAAGACTACAGGCTGATATCTACTAGTACTACCAGTGGCTTCATTAGTAACGTTCCCACAATACTTAAGTTTTCTGTCTGTGCGTACAAACCCTGAAAAAGGACAGCCTCGCTGACGAGAACAATGGACATTTCTCACCCCTCTCTAGGATTACCCCTGCCCTCAATCTCGTCCATCCCGGTAGTCATGAAAATATTTAACCCCTGACAGAATATGCTTCCGCTATCAAAATTAGGTCTTCTTTTCTAAATTAATATATAAGTTTGCAAGTTCTTATTTACAAAACATCATTGGCTATGTCCGAACCTAAATTTTATGTTAAAAATTGCGGTACTGTCAGATTTTAGCATAAACAGAGAAAATTGCAGCAGCGCATGAATCTAGATGAGATGCACTACTTTCCAACCCCGCTTAGGATCATTGCTATCACATCGCGCACCAGGCAAAATCGGTGTTGTGGCTGATACTCTGTAATGCGATCTGACACACACCTTGTAAACGGGCAGTGTGGTCTGATAAACCGGTTTATACTGGACCCATAGGTGCCGAGTCTGGTAGTTGGGAAGGCCTGATATAGTCCCACCGAAATTCCGATCAAATTACTATAACAGCTATTAAAAATATACAACTTAAGCAGCTTGCTTTCATATACAGATAAAGATCATTCTGGATATTTGGACCATCAGCACCAATAAGGATATTTTGACCCCAGGACTAGATGCCGAATTAACAGCTGAAAAACAAGGGAGAATGAAGACTTTACAACCAACTTCTATCCACAAAATCATTTAAGATATCAACAAAATAAAAAAATTAATAAAATAAAATAAAATAAATGAACATAGTATAATTAAGCTTGAAACTCATCATTAAAAATCAAATTACCTTTTGCTGACAGAGTTCACATAAAATCAAGTCTTATATCTCATAATGTCATATAAGCCTTGATTTTATGCGAACTCTGTCATCTAAAGGTAATTTGATTTTTAATGATGAGTTTCAAGCTTAATTATACTATGTTCATAGAGTCATCTAATATTCAAATACATATTTTACACATACACTGGTATGCAATATACATTGAGTTGAAATCAAGTTTTCATTAAAATTTTGCATTTGAGTTTAAAAAAAACTGTAAATCAAAGAATTATGACTCAATAATTTGTATTCTTAAAGAATTTAAAATAAATAATGTTCCCTGATAGTGAATTAATCTAAAAAACTATCAACTACAATCAAATATATATGCTACGCATTTGTTGTTAGTTCAAGGCTCCCGGAGTTTCAGAGTACTGTACATCACCAGGATTTTTAGACCAATCAAAGAACTTTCCAGCAGCTGTGTTTTCTTTCAATATCTCAGTAATACATATAGCTGGTGCAGTAAGTTGTGAACTTTAGGGAAAATGGCAGTGATCTTATCCCTTTTCTACCCAGCTTATGTTTCATTTTATTGTTTCAGGTAGGGCAAGTGTGTTTTGCTTAATTAAGGCTGCATTGAAAACAGCAGACTGACTAGTCCGCTGATCAAATATGGCCACTTAAATGTTTCTTGTGTAATCCCCGCAGGGAATCTAATCAGTGTCTATTAGGGGATTAGTCGGCAAGCTTTTAAGTGGGTCACCATATTTGATCTGGGGACTAGTTAGTCCGCTGTTGTGAATGTGGTCTAAGAGAACTCGGGAACTCAGGGGGTACCAAATTAATGAGTCTCCCCGCACGAAAATGCAGTAGTATTGAAGTAGCAAAGAAGCATTAACGCAGTAGAGGTGTGGAGCATATTTGCAGTAGAAATGCAGTATAGCCTACTGCAATTCTACTTCAAAAATTACATAGGGTTATACAGAGGAGGAGCATTAATGCAGTAGATTAGCAGCATGATAGAAGCATGTTTCAAATATGCTAATTAGCTCCCACATCGAAGCAGATTTGAAGCATGTTTGCAGTATGATTGCAGTAGTCTACTGCGCTGGAGTATCTACTTCGTTTTCGTGCGGGTCGACACTTCATCTTATGAAATTTCATGCAATTAGCAGTATTAAAATGTATTACATTAAATTTTGGCACAGTATGATAAAAGAACATATGGTATGAATATGTAAGATACACTAAATGTACAAGCTGTACATTGAAGATTGGGATGAAAAAAAAATATAGACCGTTAGTTATTTCAGCAAAATGTTAACATCCACACTTCATTACAACTTATCCATCAAGCTCCAAGTCACAAAATCACTGTACTTTAATTTTTTGTTTATTTATTAATTATCATTTTTTACAACAAACAGCACCATGAGGTTAATTCCTGGGCTTAATGATATTTTTTAAAAGCCAGTATTAAATGCAGCCACAAATAAATGATATGGTCTGGCATTTAAAAAAGCTACTTCAATATCTGAAGCATCTAAACATGCTCTACTTAACATTATCAAATGCACTATCAAACATTTACTCCACATAAGCTAAACGGTTTTTGCAGCCAGAATTTTTCAAATCTCAAAATAAAAACTGACAAGCATTTTGAAAAAAAAGCATACAATCATAAAGAGTGACTTGGAGCTTTTACCTTACGTAGTTACAGCTACAGTCCCAGTTGTCAGTAAATCTTAACATATATCCTTACTCCCCACACTGAAAAAGTAGGCAGGATGCGGATTAACTGCACAGGATGTGGATCTGCAGTCCAGGATGTGAATTAACTGCAGGTAAGTTTCAACTGAATAAGGTTTTGGCTGCCAGAGGGCATATTTAGCACTTAATTTTATAGACAATATCATTTAGGGGATTCCACAAAGTTGCAATAATTATAGCCATACAACAAAACTTAGGGTATTTGAAAGCATTCTCTATCCAATGCCATGCAGTAATCACACAGGTTATAGGCCAGCAGTAAATTGTTGGATCAAGGCACCCGAGACATTTCTACTATTAGCATAGGAATATATCTTCTCCAGTGCAATAATGAAGGTTTACTGGCTGAAGGACGTTGCCATCAAAGCTCTGTAACTCAGTTATGGCTTTATTGGTCAAATATCTTTGTAACAATTAGTAAATTTAAAGCAAATACAAAAATGAATCATCCCATCCTTTTTTTCTTACAAATATTTAAGCCCCTTACAATGCTTCGGCATAAGTAATAATCCTTGACCCTTTTATATCATAAGCATCAAAAATATGTAACTAGAGCCTGACGAAAATAAGGCCTTGGTGAGATTTGCATAAAATCCAATAACTGATTTAAAAAAAACTTGTATGTACTCAAAATCAAAACCAATCTCAGAAATCATCTTTGGTTCTTTCTTTTGGGCCACCTCATAAAATGAGGGAACCAATACCAGTTAGGAACTGAAACATAATAAGAGCAGTGCTACACATAAAGAGGCACCAATGTCAATGTAAAGAGGAATACGGCTTTTCAGTCGCCCCCCCCCCCCCCCCATTACCCCCAACCCACAATTCTGGATACACCTCTATATTAGGAATATTAGGAAAAAGAGTATTGATGGCTGCAGTGGAAATACAATGTATATATATATCTGATGAAGTATTATTCCACAAATTTGCTTTGTGCTCTTTAATCCTACTATGAAAATAAAAATGCAATTTATTTTTTTATGTTCATAAGGCTCAGCTTTTACAAATGTTCAGGAAAAAAATTAAGCACCTCTATAAAATTCTAATCCCATTCTAAATAACAAGGTTACAGCTAATCCACAGCTGAACAAAACTATTGTTTCTCCATCTACACATTCATGATCACACAATCTGTATATACTGTGTGTGCTATATATATCTACAATATCTAAAAGACTAGACTATGTCTATACTATTTTACATAAGTACTATATATAATTCTTCTTTGGTTTCACCTTAATTCACCTACATGTCAATGCCACAGTAGATTAAACATAAAATATGTATGTGTCCATGTAACATCTGATCATGCCATACAAACGGGAGTATGGTACATAGTAACATTTCCTTAAACCTGAAAATGTGACAACAGTTATTTACTTTGGTCCTTCTCTATTTCCCAATCTTCTCCCTCTGTTCTACACATTATCAAGAAATAATTAGTTTCCCAACTAAACCCTTTATTCTGCAGGTATATTCCCAAGATATATATATATCGGGTAGATCTAACTACTGTCCTTTCCACTACAGCCACCAGAAATCTCTATAAACGGAGGATTCTTACAGGTGAGAAATTACAGGTGAGCAATAAATTAACATTTATATGCATGCTGTCATTCAAACAAAGGTTAGTATACTATATGTTGCATGCAAGTTTAAATCAATCATTGAAAAATAAAAAATAAAAATTTACAACCATGCATATACCAATTAAGAAATATATCAATGTGTTGTGATTATAACAGAGGTGGGTACGTAGACACAAATAATGTGTTCATTTTAATGTTTTAACAGTGATTAAAATCATTATAAAATGGACTATAAAAATTGTGTTTGTACCTGGCTTTTTCTTTTTAACTGTTGTGCTAGTAACTTTTGGAGTTGTTCCCTCTTTTGACAGCAAAGTGGAAGTTATTGTTGTTGGTTCAGTTGTTTCTTCCTGAGGAGGAACTGTTATGTTCCCTTCTTCTGTACAATACATTACAGATTCTTATCATTACCAATTATGCAATGCCAGTTGCAAATGGTTAGAAATATCACGCAATTCAATCCTGTATCCAATGTAAACTGACATGCATAAAAAAAAGCCAAAAAAGCATCAAATTTTGAATCTCAATAATTTTCCTAGTTCCCTGTTACTCTTGCATGTTAAGTCAGCTTTAAGAATGCATCCAAATTATTGCAGACTGTCTTCCCAAACCAGGCCATAATTATAGTGCATGATATTTCAAATCTCAAACAATTATATTTAAAATGATTTGACCATGTTCCCCATGTTCTTATCTATATGTTATCAAAATTTCCATTTCTAAATAAATGGAAAATCGATCACCAACAGCACATCTTTTTCCCACAGTACATAGTACATACAGTAGGTCAAAGCACCCTTCTCCCCCCCTAAAAAAACTTATTTTAAAGCAAAAGTTATCATGTACTTGTTAATCCATTAGATCTGTTAGATATATAATTCAACACTTTAACAGCTAGTCAGTAGATATGAGTAGCCCTAAAATTAATACCATACCCTTAGTAACTTGAAATGACTTTGCCTTCCAGAGCAAATTCTACCAGAATGACATAAGCATCACAAATAACTAGTTTTAGCATATATAATTAGTGGTAGTAGTTATGAAGTCACTTACTGGAGGTGGGGGAACAAAATATTATGGGGTCTATGAATGTAGTTTGTATTTGTTTCTTATCCAATACACATTTTTTCATAGACCCCTTAACACTCCATACCCACTCCCCCCAGTAACTGAATGTATAACAGATTCATCATATCACTGAGCATTAATTTAAATAATAATAATAATAATAATAATAAGGAACACTTTGCTGACTATCAGTCTTACAAGTACAGCATATAGTACTGTGAGCCTCAGTTTAATAAATGGCAGTATTCAATGCAACAGGAAGCAGAAAAACCAAGGTGAAAAAACTAGACAAATTTGCTCAGTGACAAGATAAATATAATATTATGTGGTTAAAATAGATATCTATATGTTATTAAAGATGTTAATAAAAATATCCAGGTACTATAACTAGACTTAAACATGTCTACTGATCAACATGAATACAAATATCAAAAAAGTACCATTGAAAATATACACAAACATTTCACCGAAAGTTCATAATATATAAAATATTAATTTTTCATTTAAAATGACTCTATTGTAAGTCAGCCAAAGGTGTTTATTGCAAAACATATTTTAGTTGTAGTTACAAATAGAAAAATCTATAAAAACTACATTGAAAAAAGACATGACTGAGGCTGTGATCATATTGAATCCATACTTACGTCTTGGAACATTAGAAGCAAAGGTGACATCTGGTGTCAGTTTTACAGATCCTGCTGTATACTCTCTGGAAGACTCACATTTTTCTGGATTTCCTCGCCTGGATTAATTAAAAGACTAGCTTTCATATTTCTAACAGTAATCAAAGATTGAATTCGTAATTCATGAAAACACTTAAGTCAAATAAGATGCTGACAGAAAAAATATTTCAACACAATTAAATATGTGGAATAAAGAAAAAAAGGTACTTTAGGTAACTAAGAAAATATCTGGCTGCTTGTAACAACTAACTTTATGAACAAACACACAAACACACTGATGAATACACTGACACATTTGCATATATATACAAACATACACACATACAGAAAGACCCACAGGTTCATACACACATTCACAAACATGCACATTACCACCCACCCACCCATCCACACACATGCATGCACTCACACAATCCCAAACATGCACATAAACATAAACACACACACACACACACACACACACACACACACACACCTGCCAGGGTCTACTATCCTGAACAGCTTCCCATTTTGTACAGTTGTGCTGGCAAAGTTGGTGGACAACATGTACATCTCACCTGCAGAGGAAATAGGGATGAACATATTATGGGAACATCTCATACAAAATGTAACTCTTTTTCAAAATAAATCTGTCAAACATCTTAACAGGACATCTGACCTGTAGAAGAAATAAGGATGAACATATGGTCGAGAACCTCTTAGGCAAAATTTAATTTTTTTCAAAATAAATCTGTCAAACATCGTAACACTGTGTACAAAACAGCTGAATAAATACTCATAAAATGTTAAAAGAAAGTTGTGTACATTAATATTAAAACTGCTGTTACAGTTGTGTTTTTACCAATTTCATCTTCACCAAAGGAGATGATATACTTGGGGTAAGTGCTGACAAGGCCATTCAGACATTTGTCAGGGCCACACATAAAAATTTGCTTGTTCCTCCATTGATTTGTTCCACGGTCTTCTTCTAATTTGAATATTTTCCTGGAAGAATCCATGAAGCATAAGTTCACTTGAAGATTTTGTTCTAAGTAGCTACAGACTATAGACATGTAATGACTCTTATAAATCCTTTTAGTAATCCAAAGGTTGAAGATAAAAGTTTTTAAAAAAATTATAATATTTTTTATGTGAAAGAGTATAAAGCAATGTACGTAGCATAGTCACAGATGACAAATCTTGCAATTATACATTAATGCTATTTTTGTCTAAATGAAAATGTGCCATAATTCAATACACATATTTCAATAACTTATACAGACTTATATGTACCAAAATTAAAGTGCATCTTCACAAGAGGATGGTCAGGAAGACTGCGAAGTAGAATCTAAAACTACTAAAATATTTTAAGAAATCACTTCACCGCACCCGTTCATAAAATCCCCATACACGTACGCCCCCTGTAGGTTGGGATTCATGCATCCTCGGTAAACATGGCCACCAGTGACAGATTTGCCAACACTGTGGCTGTATGCATGGATGGGAAGAACTTCTGGTCCTGGAAGAAAAAAAAAACAATCAATTACATGACCAATTCCATGTCACTCTCTTGCAAAATTGCCAAACCTCTCAAATTGGAAGTACCATTTGTATACTGCTTGATGTGAAAAGGATGAATGTTTCACATAAACAAATTTGAAAAATATACACATATAATACTGATGATTGGCACCTATATACAGTAAGCACTAGAACTTCTTTCAAGCAAGATAAAGACTTCAGGATCCCTTATTGGGTACCAGCAATGCATGAAATGTTGTTGCCACTAAAGTTAGGTCAACAGAACTTGAACCACCATCTCTGGCAGCAGTCCCATTGCCATTAGTTCACCAAAGTGAAGAAATCTAATCCATTTGTTGTCCAACCTATTGCCAGAGAAAATACAGCAAGTTGTGTGCTGTGATGAGTTAATCATTATCAAATTTAACTGCAGAGATGGTTTTGTTAAACAACTTTATCTCATTTGGCTTGAAACCAGGCATTAATTTTTTTAAAAAGTAAAACAAAACCTCTATATTTTATATGAAAGATATAGATAATTACATGTGACATGTATTATAAGATTTCTCACACTAATGCTCAGTAAGTGGTGGATGTTCATCCATCTCTAAAGAGGGTCAATAACCTCAGTAATTGACAAAAAACTAAGAGATGCATTTGACTCAAGGTCAGTTACCTCCGTAATCATGAAGCTGAAGAAAACAACTTACTGCTGACTTTCACCTCAACTAGTAATGCTTTTAATGAAATGTAAATAACCTACCAAAATGTTTAATGCATCAGTTACGCTTACCCATTTTTCCACATTTGTCTTGTTTATAACATTCAAAGCCCTCTCTTCCATTCCAGCCGTAATTGCCTCCTTTTTCAATAAGGTCAATCTCTTCGTATGCAGATTGCCCAACATCACCACAGATGATTCGGCCTTTGCCATAACCTGAAGATATCAAGAATACAAAATGTTATATTTCTAGCACATTTCTAGCACGAAAATTACGTGAATCACAGTCCTTATTGCTGACAATTTGCATTATATATATATATATATATATATATATATATATATATATATATATATATATATATATATATATATATATATATAACAATCTGACCAATTATTCAATTGCCAACAAGAAGTATTATATGTGGTTTGAGCAGTAATGCTTTATGAAGGAACTTATTCAATCTGTCATTTTAATTTGTTGTCATGTTAACCTTATCATTGTCCTTACAGAAAAAAATAGATTCCTGACTTGTCAACTGTAGGAAGTTGTTGAATGATATCGTGATTGCCTTCCTGCACTTGACTGTTTCCTCAAAGTGACATTTAATGTGCGACTTAGTTCACATCAGGGCTAAATTAGACTTAACATTGACTAACTGATATCACCAAACCTGATCTCTTAATGTGGGAAGTATTACATGGATTCCTTCAAATAGTCTAGTTCTGGTTTAATTTAGTTATGATGTGAACACAGCATAGCTTGTGATTATAGCAGTGTTGTTTTTATACACAGCAATAAAACTCCTGAAGTTAGAACAACCTCTTTGTTTATATGTTTGCCAATGGCAATACACTCAAATATTCAGGAAAAGAAGAAAAATTGAAGTCACAGGGAGCAAATAATGGGCATTAATAACTCAACAAAATGAGTTTTGATCATGCTTTTGATACATTTTTCTTAGTGCCTAATGCCAAAGTCACCTTATTCATCAATTTAAAACACTGTAACCAAACACATGTTACAAGATTACTTTTTGAATTTCTGTAACTCCTAATGAAGCGTAAGTATTACTTCTCACCATAATAATACATGTATATGATCTTGAGCTTCAATTTTTTATGAATAATGAAGTTAAAATGTCTTAAACATGGCATACTAAAGTCATGTGATGGTTATCAAACACAAAACACATTTTATCAGTGTTTTATCTTAATATAAAAAAGTCACCCTTTCTACTTAAACCTAAATTTTTACTTCTTCACACCTCTTAAATTCCTCAAGGGAACAAAGGTAAGTGATTTGAATCTTTTTTTTTTTAATTTAGGAGCTTAGGGCCACCTTTATGCAACTTATCAAACATAAAGTATATTCAATTGAGTGGCATACTGTTGTTTGATATCTTTTTCAAAGTCTAAATGGCCAACGAAGTTTTAATCTTTTTTTCCAAGAGAAGTCATTATTTTATTGCAACTATAAATTTGGTAGGTCAACAAGCAAAGCTGGATGGTGAATCACATCTAAATCATTTTTTAAGTGTTTATGATAAGGTGTACTTTTTCCATTAACAACCTACACATATAATAAAATCTATCATATTTGAAAAACAAAGGATAAGTGCAGTCTTCTTTGAGAATCAAATGACTTCTATCATTGAAGGGATCTTCTGCATTTAAAGTATAATATTACTACTGACAAGTCTATAAATCAACAAACAATCTCTTTTAGGGCAACAAAACATTTTTGGAAACAAGACTATCAACCAGTGCTTTAAGTTCGAGAACTTAATAACAAAGCCTCCTTAAATCTGGGTGGTGACATTTGAAGTCACCTGCAATTGAATTCAAAAGTACCAATACAGCAGAAAATTGCTAGGCTGTCTTCACTTTTTGGCAAAATCTCAGTGCCCTTGACACTATTACACTGCAAGGGGTAAGAACATTTATAACAGCAAATGAAATGCAAAAAAAAAAAATTGTGACCTGGGTACTAGCCACCAAAGTAACATACAAAAGAAATATTTACAATCAGCCAAAATATGACTGATTTGTGGAACACACTTGGTGAAGGGAAATAAATCATTGCTAATATTATATGTATAGACACATATATAATGCCCTTGTGCATGCAACTTTAATGACTTGGTCACAGAATCCATAATGTTGTTCTGGTCAGTAAATTTAAGGTATTCAAAATCTAAGATCTTGTGCTTAATTTATAGCTTGATACTTTTTATTCATTTTTTGTAACTAATAAATAGGATAAAAACAATGAAATACTCCACTTTTGAAACAAAGTACATAAACAAAAATGTTTCTGTTAATTTGCAGGAAGTACAGATAAGAGGTATACATGTACCAGTTTAAAATTTTTCCACCGTGTCATTTTAAACTGTTTTTTTAAATCACAATTAGTGACTACTATGTGTTCTAATGTAAAGTAACTTCAATTAAATGGGTAATCTTCACATTAGGCAGAACTCACGATTTACACATAAATTCATGACAATGCAACTTGTTCCAAATGAACGACCAATGCCCTCCCCAAATTATACCAGTAGTTACTACATCATAATACAGGTAAATTGGCATCTTGCTGTTTGATAAGAATTACACATTTCCTGTCTCTCTCTAAGATTAAAACTTGTTTTTGACTGAACAAGTGCAACGTCCTGTTTCTACTGCTTTCATAAGCGAGCTGATAACATCAGGTGAGGCCGTCACTTTCATAACCCAAGTGCTGCACACTCAAGTGCACATCAGCAAGCTCTGGGCAGCCCTTTATGTCTGGGCAATCAACTTGCATAAATGGTCTGACTACACAAATAAACCTAGAATAATCTAGCTGACTTGCCAGGAAAAATCCATAAACCCATGAAATATTCATTCCAGATTGGAGCAGTTGTCCCAGTCTTCACCTTTAAGTATTCCTCAGGCAATTTTAAATCCTGACATCTTTTAAACTTTACTAATTTTTAGGGTGTATATTGTGGCTTATTCCTAAATCCTGTATAAAAAAGGTAAAGAAATTTTTATTATAAAGGTATCCAATCTGGGATTTTTCCCACCAAATCTAATTTTCCTTGATAAAAATGAAATTTTTTGCCATTCAAGCATCATTCCCTGACCCATCCCTGCACTTTGATTCAATATTTTATACTATTTCTAATTAAATAATTTAGTTCTAAATTACTAGCCAATCAATTATACTGCATTTATACTCCTGTACATTTCAGAAGGAAATATTAACATAAGTTACTTTAATTTCAGGGAGTTTATCATTTTAAAGTGGAGAAGGCAAATCTCTGTGCAAGATAGGTAGACAAAGAAAATGTGACTTGGGTACATACGCAAATAGTATACCTTTAAGTTCAGGTGGTGTCATATGAAAAAAGTTAAACAGTCTGTGTGATTTTGCCGATGGATTGAAACAAACAATAATATCAGGTCATCAGAGTGATATCATCAGTTTAATGCTGCAAAACATGACAATCATGATCACCCTGAAATCAAAAAATATCTCACCATCACAATAACATGAGCCTCTGGCACTCCTATCTCCACTAACAGATGCAATCACTTTGTAAAAATACACCTTTTAAAACAAGTTATACCTTTGTCATCCCCTCTGTCTTTGCCACATCTCCAGATATTACGTATGCCATAGGCATATATTTCTGGTCGAGCTCCCGCCTCACTCACAAAGGGGTTGTCTACTGGAATACCATATGGAAGGCCCCCAGTGGTGGAATCCACATCAATTCGAAGCACCTTGCCCAAAAGGGTGTCTCTATAAAGATTACATATCCACTTTCAAGATATGACTATAGTTAAACATTATAGCAAAGGCTCTATTTTCCTGTAATATAAATCTTGATCATAAAAAATAGATCCTTTGTCATATTTTAGTTAAAACTAACTGCAACTGATTTTTAATTTATAAATTATACATACTTGAAGATGAATAGGACTGCATTGTTTAAAAAATAAATAAAAAGTCCTAGTCTATTTGACTTTTGACTTCTGTGAACAAATTATTGGAGCAGAGAACATAATATACATGTAGCAAATTTCTCCTACAATAAAAAGTTATATCAAACACCACACTAACTACAAAATGTTTATACTTTAAAGACTTTTAACATTTTATTACTATTAAAACATCTCAGACTGAAATCAATTTACAAATTTTTGAGTGATTATTTTAGGCTTTCATACTTAAACGTTGTGTTGGGAAATCAAAAACAAATGGATTTTGTTGAATTATAATGTCAAAGTTAATCTTACACAGACAATTGGACAGACTCACATTACATCAGATAACACAGCAGTGTACAGTTCCATACAAACATGACACATAAATAAAATCCCTTTTATGAACTTCACTGCTAATTATAAAATTAATGTAACCAACCCACACCATTTTTTGCGTTCATCACAAAATCTTTTTCTGAAATACTTGGAAGAAGACAATAGCTTTTAAAAATACAAGTAATAATGACACATTTAAACAAGCAAAACTTGCAAAAAAAAATACAAGGAAAAAAAGAAAGAAAAACTTGTCATTTCTTTCTTGCTTACCCTTAGTAGTCACAGTGATAAAAAATTGTCAACCCTATTATGTGAGTTAAGACTAATTTCCTGTGCCTAATATTATGCCCGAAGCCTCCAATTGTCAGATCTATTGATAATGAGCATGAAATGATAATATAAACTTACACCATCAATAGATTAGCTTTGGGATTTTTTTTACATGTAAGTAATTCAAGTATAAAGCAGAGAAGCAGATAAAAAATCCAGCAGTCATAAAACTAATTTATTGCAAAAGTCTGTGAATTAGCTTCACCGTAAAATAATATAATGGCTAGGGGCACATTGAATTCATTAGTATTGTGAATACTGGTCTACAATCACCCTGAATTTCAGAGCTCTAAATGTGACTCTCCTCCCAATCTTATCTGAAGGAGAACCACAAAATAGCTGATTAACAAACAAACAGTTGTAGTTTTGATTTAAATAATTATACTTCAGTATGCATAATTTAGATGATTCACAACCACATACAATGTGAGATATATGACTTTTTAAATACCCAGCACACCCTTATCTTCACTTATCAATCAATTGAAAATACGAGTAGCAATTGTTTCCTTTTTACAGAATTTCTTATACACTCTAAAACCCATGTTGTCTACAATATGTTATTAAACAATGTTCCTGCAGTATCATACGTCAATGTCATGGCATCTCTACTGAATTATAAAAAAAATTATCAGTGACTAAGCAAGTGATTTGAACTACATCTAGATTATACCTTAATATTATCATTTGTTGTGATTAAATCTTGCACCTTTCAGTTATATGCAGGACCCAGTATACTTGTATACTTATATACTGGGTCACAGGTTATATCTCATGAATATCTATCATTGCATGTAGCCCTTTAGCTGGTACATGTAATTGTCATTTTAATGTTCCTTCTCATCTTAACTTTCAATTTTTGAAAATATTTTTGATGAAATGTTCACATACTTGCGTTGTCCATTGTTCTGTGGATCTCCTTGTGACCCTCCATCACCAACAAAGAGGTACAGATAACCATCATCTCCAAACAACATCTGAAACCAAAAGAAAACAACTGATAAATATTTCTAATTCAAAGAAAATAACTGACAAGTTTATCTTGAAATAGTAAATGACATGCCTTAAAGAAAAAATAGTTTTACTGGTACCGTCTTTGCTAGTTTTAGGTTACATTGTCAGGATTTTGAAATTTGAAAATTGGAGAGTTTGGCATGTATCATATTTAAAAAAATAAATGTTGTCTTTTAATGTTTTAACTTTTAGGATGTTCCGTGTACAGTACATTTTTTTACAAAATATATTTGAAAATCATAAATAAAAAGCTGTAGTTCTAAATAATATAATTAGTTTGCTTACAAATACATTTCATGATATATGGCTCAAAGAAAAGAAAAGGACTTTGTTTAATCAAACTCATTGAATATAAACATTTTTTCAGCTTTTACAGTCAAACCACTCATATTGACCATCAAGGAAAGTAACTTTTCACCTTCATGAAAATAATAACCTTTTACGGCACTTGAATTCAATCAAAAATCCATTAATCTATGGGAGGTGCATATAAATGGCAATTTGGAACCAGAACCTGCAGTAAATGTTGACAGAGTGACATTGCAATTTTTTGTCTCTTTGCTGATATATATATATATATATAGTTTTTCAGAACTGTGTGCGTCCACAAACCATTAGTTGCCCTGCCCATGCTGGAACAGCACACCTGAGAACCCGTGGTCAAGTGCTTGTCATATTTGATCTGTGGACTAATTAGTACACAGTTGTGAACACAGCTTTAAAGCATTGTTATGTTTTAAAGAAGATAATGATCATTGAAAGCAAATGTATCAACTTCCTACATGTTTAAACTTTTCACTTTCTGCACAAAATTGAAGCTATTCCTCACATATAAAGTGATGAACAGTCTTCCATCTGAAAACAAGTCAACATCCAACAATAACAGAGAAAAGGGAATAAGCCCAATGGCAATAAAGTAATTCCATACATGAAGGGGGAAACCTGAATATCTGAAATATACCTTTGCCAAACACTGAGTAAATGTTTGTTTTCAACCACACAGAACTCTTAAACAGGTCCTGTATCACCCTAAAGACAAGAGGGGCAAAAAAGATATCAAGACTGTAGTCTACTATATCAAATGCCAGGGGAACAAGAAGGACTGTTACTTTGATAATGAACACATCAGGCAGGCAGAAAGAACACCGAAATCTAGGGTCACGGAAAACAAAAGACTGAGCTCCATCACTGCAGACCTTGTCTCTAAACACATTCGCTCAGAGAAACAAGGGCATCAGATCCTGCGGGAGACGGTAAAAAATTGGACAAGAACCCATTATGATGATAAGAGAGCCAGCCTGAGGGTAGTCATGGAGGAAATTTACATCCATGCGCTCAAACCAAGCCTGAACTCATTCCAGGGGTCTTTCGGAAGATCAGAATTTTTACGTTTATATTGACAGGCATCTAATTTTTTCAGAAGACGGTCAAAAAATGGAGGATAGATCAACAAAGATAATTTGGCAGACTGTCAGAAAATATCTCTGAATCTGCCCCTAGATGCAGGGGGAGACACCAAGTGTTACATATATGGGACTGCACTATAATTACTTATTCTCTGACCACAGGGTGTGCTAGTAGTCTGTTACAAAAATATTGTACTGCACCCAGTGCAATTTCACATAATTAACAGGAATGCGTTCCTTGCCAGACCAGACATACCCTTTGTATATGTCAGTGGAAGTGATTTCACATTAAGTGCTGTAGTGCACATCCCTGTCTATATTGCGTAATACAAGTCTAGCATGGCCCTAGACTTATTCCATATGCCAGCCGAGTGATTACATCCAACTTCATAATTATCCTCTTCTGCTGCTGAGCCACCATTCAGATTGGGGGTGTTTTCAAACACCCCATTTCCATAGATTAGATCGATCTACTTTAGATCAACCTAACTCCCTGGGGGTTCACGCTAAATAGCTGTCAGCCGGGCAGACACGAAAGTTAATTACCCCCTTACAGCTTGTAGTAGGCGGGACGGACATTTAAGTCAGATTATCTGAAAGTAATCTAGTGAGACTCCCCGCGGGATAGATCGATCTAAAATCTATGGGAATAGAGCCTAACAGGGGTGTATACTAGTAATTTAATTTTGCATACTATTTCAGAGGCCCCTGATATCAGATAATTATAACCAATGCACTGGCAAATAAAGCTCAGTCTCATAATCAGGCATAGTTACACACATTGAGGAAGGTAACTGTGTGACTGCAAACTTTATTTAGTCTAGTAAATATACTCTACCTCGCCCCCATTATGATTACTATAAGGTTCCTGTATTTCCAAAAGTATTCTTTCAGTTTCTCTATCCGCCTTGTTCATGTCAGAAAGAGAGGCTTGCATTTCACTTATTCGAACATACTGGTTGCGACTTTTCAGAACAGAGTAATATATGTAAAATTTTCGATTGACACTGAAACTTGGATGGAAGGCCAAACCAAGGAATCCCCTTTCATCCCCAAGCCGTGAAGAAGTCAAAACTTTGTCCTTTATATCCAGAAAAGGTTCAGCCAATCTTGATTTGTTGGTGAAGTATATATGGACAAGCCCCTTTTGTTCTGCTACAAAGAGTCTTTTTGTTCCGTCCATGGGTGATCGTGCCAATAGGGGGTTGCCTAGTCCTCCAGCGATCTCTTCCAGACACAAGCAGTCTTCTTCATTTCTGAAAGCACTCACAATATCTGAATTAAGTACAGAGTTTGTGAGAAGGTCCGGATAGCAGTAGTCTACATCAAAAAGACTCATTTTATTGCAAAAGTTATTGGCACTGTCTAGCGTGGCTAAAACTTCCTTGTCGCTCGTTAAATACTTGACCGAGTCTCGGCATTTCGAGTAAAACTGCTGGCAATAACTGGTGCACATGCCGGGCATAGAACGAGGTATTAGTTTAGTTTCTGCATCATACAAATGAGCTGCATAGGGTGAGCACTTTTGACAGAGAATCTGCTTTGCAAAGTCAACACACGCGCCCAAACCATTGTTGTTTAATTTTTGAACAACCTGTTTATAAAAATCCCCCAAGTTCTTTGTCCTGAGCCGGTGTACAACATCCAAAATCGGTGTACTCTGGACAAAACCCTAGCCTGCTGCCGGGTTCAAATGGAGGCCTTGAGTCGAGACACTGCGGGTGACACGAACACATTGATATCCAGGATAAAATAAGTAAAAGTAATATGGTTGAATTACCGCCACGACCGGGAGGACATCCTGTCGTCTTCGCCATTGTGGCAAATAGTGCCGACTACATGTGCGACTCTCCCCATTTATGTTTACTTCCGTGATTTATTTACTTGACGCCAGGTAGCGGTAGGCATCAAGATAATGAAGTGCCATTCGCGCACTTCTTGTGCGATAAATCGAAGTTCACAGCAGGGCACTTATATCACTGCACAAATTGTTTTAGTTTTTAGCTTAAGTATTTATCAACTTACAGAACCGGAGAGCGTCATTTTATTTTAACTTTATTTTAAAAGTTGTAAGTGAGGATCGAGCTCTCTGTAAATGAAGATTGTGTTAGATATAATACCCATACTCCGTTTCTTCTCTACCACACTGTAAATAGAACCGATATGTTTGTCTTCTCCATTTCCGTTAAATCTACTATTTTAGTGGCGGATTTAGAGGACTCCCCCCCCTTCAGTTTCCGAAACATATATCGCACCAATATTCCCCTCTCGAAATTAGAATTTTGACTAACTAAATTATAGTTCTAAACCGTACAAAAGGGCACAGTTTGCTCTCCAAAACACCAAAAATTTTTCGGGGTCCTGAAAGCAGGCCCCGACCCCACACCAAGGAGGCGATGGTCAACTTCGCATCAGAATCCTGTCGTTCCAGATCCCCCTTCAAATAAACCTCTGATAACATATGTATCATATGTATCATTTGAATAATTTTCACAAATCGTTTGAAGACAACTTCCCTCTTTTGTTCCATAGGGCCTATCTATTTTATTGTAACCTAATGTATGCAGTTAAAAATAGGCGTTGGCTCACCAGAAGTTGGAGGCAACTAACAGTTATTAAAAACACAGTTAACGCATGTATCGATGGATAGCAAACTCGGTATGACAATATTAATGTTACAAAGAGGAATGTGCATTGTAGAAACATACGCGCGCGCATGTAGGCCTATGACGTCGCACGCACTTTGCGCCAACGGACAGCAAACAACGTTAACAACAACATAAATAACAACAATCTGCATGCAATTTGGTAACGTATGTATCAGTGTCGTATAAGTATTATTACTGATGCATCTCTGAAGAGTTCATAATCCCCGAAGAAGGCTCAGGCGCCGAAAATTTGGATTATGGAACTGTAAAGTAGATATTCAGAGATGCATCAGTAATAATACTTATATTTTCCTTAAGATCTATACGGTGAATAAACATGTATCGGTAACGTATGTATCGATACATACGTTACCAAATTGCGTGTAGATTGTTGTTGTTGTTTACCGGGTACGTTGTTTAATTGTTGTCTGTCGGTGCAACTATACGTCAGTGCGTGCTACGTCATACATGTAGGCCTACGCACGTTTGTTTTTACGTCGGACATTCCTTTGTTAGATTGCCCTACAGAGTTTAATATCCATCGATGCATAAATTGCCTATGTTTTTAATAACTGTTGGCTGCTTCCAACTTCTAGTGAGCCAACATCTATTGTATGTATTTTACTGTATTTTACTAAGAGTGCAGTGTTAGTCGAAAATATATTGAAATTGCTTTGCTGCGCACTTAAGAATACAATATTTGTTTTGGAGAAGCTGTAGGGCACAACCGCCGGCTTTACTTACGTCCTCGTCGAAAAAAGATCAAATTTTGTACTTTTCACATACATGCATGTATTCCTCCTTCCCTCGTGCTACAAGAACTTTGACACGGTGTCAAAAGCTGTCCTAGCGATAAGCTTATCGCTTGCTTTCAGTTCTATTTCACACTTATCCACAGAAGCGATACGAAGATCTTATTAGAAAAAAACTTGAACATGTGCGTTACTAACAACACATCAGGGAAAGATTACATTAAAAGGATAATAACTCTTCGTTTTGGCCAAAAAATTAATTTTCCTTGAGTAAACAACAATTTCCCCATACTTACCAATGGTTAATGAATCCATTTTTACATTCAGTTAGTCCCTGTTTTTTTTTTTTTTTTTTCTAAAAAAGTTGGTTTTTTGTTAAGAGATTTTAACAGAGTATAGCCATCAATGGAGGTCACGTGGTCTGAAGACAAACTCAGATATCAGAATAATAGCTATAACTGCCGTTTTTGTGGTAAAACAGAATACGTTATATTTCTATGAGTTATTCACAATGTTTTTATTGTGAAATATAGATCTCATGTGAAGAGTTATTATCCCTTTAAATATGCACTAAAGAGAACTTAAAAGATTACATGGAATATTCACGAAAAAGAACTTAAAAGATTACATGGAATATTCACGAAAGAGAACTTAAAAGATTACATGGAATATTCACGAAAGAGAACTTATACAGAGCCTAAAACTAGCAAAAGTAATACTAAAAGAAAAATGCTAGATACTTAAGCTAAATGTGGTTACAAAAGTTTTCTTATTTAACGAATTATAATATTAATGGGATATCAGAACCTACTTCGTGCTACATTGAACAAAATACTCGACCTTGGGTTGACCTTTCAACAAGATCTATGTAAAAACAGGTCGGGGACTATCACAGGACAGCGTATGATTTGTTGTCCAGTAAATTAATCTATCAACCTCCTGTTCAAAACGTTATTGCGATGATATTTCTCGTCAATGTCGTCATATAACCGAAAACAAAACATTATTTCTCTTGATTGATTATAGAGATGAAATGAATCGCACGTGCTTCGGGATAAACATCCAATTCATTATTTCATGCTCGTTGATTTTTCAAAAAAGAAGTTGATAAAGTAGTCAGCTTAAATATTGAAACACCTGCGTCAATGCATTGATCGGTGTCCAGTGTTCATCACGAAATGAAAACTTCCCCAGAATTACTTGAGGCATCTTTAAAAACATCTTTAAAAGGAAGTTGCGCTTTTCGTTTATGGCATTTTTCTGAAGTTCAGCAACACTGTCTACTGGCGTCGTCACTGTGAAAAGACCGGCATATTCTTACTACTTTCCAGCTCGGTTCTAATTTCCGTATAACTGATCCTTTTCTAATGCGAAAGGTTATATGTAACAAACTAGCGAACAGCTTAGAAGCGCCGGACTCAGCGTTGTTTTATCGATTGTATGACACGTTGTATGATCATGAGTGACAGTAATTTGGACTCGAAACAAGTGAGAAAGTAACAGTGAAATATTCAACTGAGCATCCTACTTGCTGAAATGGATTTTAATTCAACAATGAATTCCACAGGAATGAGACAGACGGTTGAAAACCGCTATCCTCAAATTGCCATGTTCTGTTTGCTAACAGTTATCGGAACGATTGGAAACGTTTTAATTATTGGTGCCGTTTTAGTAGAAAAGCAACTTTGGCGTCGACATAATGTATTTATTGTTAATTTGGCAGTGGCAGACCTCCTTGTGAGCGGAATTCATATGCCCTCTGCCATTCTGACATTTGCATTTGGGGAAACTGTTTTTTCAAAGCCTGGGTGTATTTTCTTGGCTTTCTTGGAATCTGTGGCTTGTGGAGTTTCGCTGATGTCACTTATGCTGATTGCAATTAACCGCTATTTGTTTATCTGTGAGTACCACAGGTACGCTAAAATCTGCACCGGGAGACTTATTACTGCTGCGGTCGTAGCGTCCTGGGTAACCGTTGCTGTGCTCATAGCGTTTCCACCACTTGTAGGGTGGGGCAATTATGGCTATGACGCGAAGACTGAGGACTGCATCGTCGATCGAACGGCCGATTTGATATACAACATTTACGGAACAGGTGTCTTCATAATGGTTCCTCTTTTATTCACATTTTTCTGCTATTTCAAAATTTTTCAAACTGTCTACACACAGCGAAAGGCAATGAGGAATCACGTCGGATTTTCAGGGAGACAGATAAGTAAGAAGGACATAAAACTGATAGTGACTTTACTGGTTGTACTATTAATGTTCGTATTATGTTGGGTTCCCTTCGTAGGGGCGGTGCTGTTCGATGGTGTAAGGGACATGGCCCCCTCGGACGTGTACCTATCTGCCGCCTGGCTGGCTATGACAAACTCTTGTATAAACAGTTTTATTTACGGAGTAGCAGACCCAAATTTCAGACAAGGATATAAAAAGATTTTACTTTGTTGTCAGACGAAATCTAGTCGTGTAGGCACCACTGACACCACTCCGCCAGCTCCAACTGCCTGACTGAAATGAATCTCTCTTTCCAAAAGGAAAGTGTATAATTTAGATTTAAAGAAGAAAAAGAAAAAATCGAATGAACGTTTTGTGACCTTTTGTGGTGGCTCTGTTTGAAATGTTATGTTCAAACGTTAAAAGCTGTTTAAATATGTGAGCATTCAAGTTGAGTTTAGACAATAGGGATGAGATTTTTAATGAGAAAAAATCAAGTGTATGTTGACCTAGGCGAAAAGTCTCCTTTTCCTTGGTAGGAAAGGCAACTTTACAGGTAGATTGTTAATCGCTGTCTCAGCCTGTCTGTGTTCTATAACTCTATAACTTAAATCTGATGCATATGGCCAGTTTCGTCATTTTCGAGCCATCAAGAAATTAAGCACTCGAATATCTGGGAAAAAGTGTCTCCGAGATTTGAAAACAAAGAAGCCGACTCCTTTCAGATCTGAAACACAAGCCTGTGACAACCTTCCCCTTATAACGGGGGTTGCGTGTGGCTGGCATCTTGTGCAGCAATTTGACTGCCTGCGTTGATGAGACTGAACCAAGATGACACGAGATATATATGTGCCATGCAACCCTATGGGAAATGGGGAGTTAGAATACCGCCATTAGGCGTCAACTCATTAAATTGTGACAGAGAAAAGCATTTATCCATTTACTCCCAACATATCTGTGAGGTAAATTTTATGACATTTGAAAGGGAAATATTATCAACAACACACTTTTTTCTCCTCTGCTTTGCGGTAATATGCACAAACTACGCATCTTGTTGGCTGTCTCGTCATCTCCGAGTCCGAGCAATCTAAGTTCTATTCGCAGATAATGTCTCTGGCTATTTCGTGACACAATTCTCTACTCGTAGCAGAGAAAATTGTCATAAATTTATTATTAGGCAGCGCCCTGTCCGTGAATACCTACCGAAAAAAACCTGTGGCCCTGGTAGAGAGTCCCCCGGGTCTGCGAGTGACGCTTGAGCGCAACCCTTAATAATTATGTTGCTGTGTTCTGCAGAAGATCGCCTGGTGGGAATATGTAGGCTTTAAAATGTACCATGTAATTCCGACCAACCACGCTGGTAAATCACTCTTGTATAATGTTTGTGTAGTATGTTGAAACGAACACAGGGATTATCTCTGATAAATCATTTGCTATCTATAGGATAGTATTTATTATTAATGATAATATTATCAACCTGTCTTTCTGTATTTCAGCCTGTATTTCTCTATTCACAGCAGAGAAAACTGTTAGACCCCATTTCCAGAGATTAGATCGATCTACTTTAGATCGACCTAACTCCCTGGGGGTTCACGCTAAATAGCTGTCAGCCGAGCGGACACGAAAGTTAATTACCCCCTTATAGCTTGTAGTAGGCGGAACGGACATTTAAGCCGGATTATCTGACAGTAATCTAGTGAGACTCCCCGCGGGGATAGATCGATCTACTGTAAAAGCTTTGGGAATACAGCCTTAAAATTTTACAATAGGTAGCGCCCTGTCCGTGAATACCTACTGAAAAAAATCTGTGTCCCTGGTAGAGAGTCCCCTGGGTCTCTAAACTGCGAGTGAAGCTTGAGCGCAACCCTTAATCAGGGGCGGATTGAGGCCGTCTTCTGGGTCTTCCAGAAGACGGTTACATATTCAAGTTCACATTGTCGGGTATCTATTTTTTCTGTCGGAAGACAGTCAAAAATGGAGGATGGATCAACAAAGATTATTTGAAAGACTGTCAGAAAATAGCTCTGGATCCGCCCCTGTTAATAATTATGTTGCTGTGTTCTACAGAAGATCGCCTGGTGGGAATATGTACGCTTTAAAATATAATTCCGTCCAATCGCGCTGGTAAATCACTCTTGCATAATGTTTGTGTAGTATGTTGAAACGAACACAGGGCTTGTCTCTAATATTGCTATCTATAGGATAGTATTTATTATTAATGATAATTACCAACCTGTCTGTCTGCCTTCATAAATCCATCCTCAACTTTTGACATCGCCGTGCACTTTCCTCTCGTTACCACAATAAAAGTAAACTATTTATTGTTCTCCGACTTACAGGAATGTTTCATAGGACCAAGGAGTTATAACAGTTATAACTGTTATAACTCCTTGATAGGACTAATATACAACTAGAGTTTGAAAAACCAAGCTTATGTATAATGACGTATTTTAAAATATTTGATTTTTCACAAAACATTGACCAGTATTTTCTAGGTATGACTTTGAAATTCCTCGGTCTAGTGTCCTGTGCTAGTTACACTTTTTGAATGACCACCATAACAGGAGTAGTAGCGCGTAATTAGCGCATACACTGTGCGCATACAAAATTTTCTCAAAGTCATATTTTCTGTCTAAATGCCCTGCAAATCTTCTGATCTTTCCCAATTCAGACCTAAAAAAAACTATAAAACCCTTCAGATAAAAATACCAAATGTCAATAGTTCCTGCTGGAAAGTGCAGGGAGACATGGCGACCTAAAAGGTGTTCCAGTCATTTAAAATTAAATCATTAAATAAAAAAAATGTATTAAAGTGCAGGGACAAGTCAAGCAACGATTCGTGAATAGGACCCCCCCCCTCCTCGGGAATTTTTTAATATTGCATTACAGTTGAAAAAAAACTTTTGTGCACTTTGATCGTTACATTGGTTGTCTATTATAATGTCATTGCTTCTATCAGTTTTGACATTTATAATATATATCTTGCTCCTTTGTGTTTATTTATTTTTTTTTTATGTATTATTTTGGGGTTGCTGGTTATTCACTACTGAAACTGATCTTTTACATTTTTTTACTACCAGGTTACACCACATACTAGAAATACCAAACAACTATCAGACAACCTTACGTAAAAAAAAATTAATAATAAATAAATAAATAAATAAATAAATGAGTACCACAAATGTTCATATTAACCTTATTTTTATATTAACTTTGATAATGTAAAAGCTTAAAGCTTAATGTAGCAACTCACAATAAAAATTGCATGTGACACAAACTGTTTTGTCATAAAATACTAGGAACAATCCTACATCAATCGAGTATTAAAGTAATTTCCAAAAATGTTTATCAAAATGACGTAGATTAACAATTCTTTCCATTTTACAACAAATTGAAAAAAATTGTATAACAAAAATGATTCCATCATTGTTCCAATGGATTTGCTTTTGGAGTTTATTGCACACATTTTCAAAATGTTTGAGATATCCAGACCTCCTTTAACATACACATGGGCAGAGCAGTAAGGACCTTGTGCTGATCAATCCATTTTCACAGAAATTGATTAAGCTATGATTGCACCTGCAACAAAAAGGCCAATCCATCACCATCATTATCCCCCAATCTCTTGCAGCTTAACAGAAACAAAGCTGTCAAAAAGGTAAAACATTAATGAACATGTCACCAAGTTCAATGTACTTTGTATATAGAAAGATAATTTCTTGAAGTGCATTGCAATTTCCTCACAGGTCGAGATTGATTTCCTGGACCCTTCTAGGCATAGGCATTGAGAAATGCCTCTCAGGTTCACAGGTAAACAATAGTTGTGTCAAATCAATTAATCATCTGCAGTCAAATTCTCTATAATAATAATAAGAATGTTTATTGAGCACAAATTTGTTAACTTTGCACAATTGTTTACCCTCAACACTATAAATGACTTAAATAATAATTTTAATAAAATAAATAATAATACAGTGAAAACTCTAACAGGTATAATCACAGTGACTGTAACATAAAGGAAACTGCAATCATTCATAACTCAATAACAAGGTACATAACATGCCATAGGAACTGTTTTTGCCTCTGGTTGACATAAGGACAAATCATCCTAAAATATGCTGTATAGCCAATTTCATTTGTATGGGTATCTTAATGTCCTTCAAGTCAGCATAAATTGTATAAAGCAAAGTGAAAGTATTTTTGAAGAGATAGAGGGTGGGAGGGTGTCATTTTAAAGGCAGAAAACATCTGATATAGTTCAGGGGTGGATGGATACTGTCTTCTTGGTCTTCTGATGTCACTTAAAATGTGGAACGCGTCTGATATAGTCCAGGGGTGGATGGATACCGTCTTCTTGGTCTTCCGGAAGATGGTTGGAATTTTTCAAGTTTAAGTTGAAGGAAATCTATTTTTTCCCGAAGACGTTCAAAAATGGAGGATGGATTTACAAAGATATTTTGGAAGACTGTCAAAAAATATATCTAGATATGCCCCTGTATATCACAAATATTTCTAACATTTACTGAAAGCATGGGACTCTAAGTCTGTTATGAGGGGTTTCCAAAGAAAAATGTAGGACACTCTGACATAACCTAGGACCTCCTGAATTGAGACTTATAATTCGTTAAGATGGCTATTTGACTTAGATACAATGGAGCCTTTAGTAACAAAATACCTGGTGGTACTAATAAAAATAATTTTCGGTCTTATATAGTCTAAATGCAAACAAAGACAAACTTTTAGTCAAAGGCCATCTTAGCTAAACAGAATGTCTTAGTCACAAGATATCTAACATCAGTTCTTCAGTTTTGAAACTAAGCAAGGAGTTCAGAAACCTTATTTGCTTGGATGCCAATTTCACCATGGTGGCTCTGTGGTATTTTGATAAGTCAAATAGATATGATTTGGCTAATTCTGCCTGAAATTCATTAGACTGCCCTCTGAAACTTTCAGGGCTTAGCAAAGATTTTCAACAGAACAAGCAAGAAAAAATTAAGTTACTGAAAAAAAAAGTAATAAAAAGACAAACACTCTCTTAGTGACAATTTTCTCTAATGAATACAAAACTCCAACATCCCTGTATAGAGGAAAGTGTTATTTACATGGCATTAAATGTTCGTTTCCTATATCTGCTCTTTTTTCTTTTTTTGGTGCAATGTTTTGTGTCGACAACTTTTTGACAATTTTTTGTCGTATGCCCACCTTTCAAATCCTTTGAGTTGAAGCAAACATTAGGCTTCTCTTTTAATTCTTGCTCATGCAATGAAGGCAGAAGTTTCAATGTCTTTGTATTTTCTGGATGCAAAATATGTTTGACAATCATTTCTTGGTAATCATTTTCTACATGAGCACTACTGTTAGATCTTAAACCAAACTGACACACCCTTATATGTTTATAACAGCTATCAAAAACTTGCGTGCTCCTGTTACAGTATGGACACAAAAAGAGCCTAAGGACAGGTTTCTCTGAAGGAGGAAATGGGTGATGTCCCTTCTGTTTCCAATGTTGTCGTAACTTTTTTCGGTTCTTAAAAATCTTATCATTATCACACTTGGTGCACTGTAAATGCTTCAGTCCTAAGGTCTGGACATTCAGGATACGGCAAATGGCATAACACCCTTGAGGTGCATTGTTGGCTTCTACTTCCCCTACAAAAAGAAATGAAACTGATCTTAAATGTAACACAAAACAAAGTTAAGCAGTGAATGCTGCAAAAGAAATATACATCAGTATGGAAACTATATTATAATGAACAGGTAGGAAGCATCTTTGCTATCCATGGTGCAAGGATTCTTTCGTTGCATTCATTGCTCTAAAAAATAATATCATTGACAACATTTATATATCATTTTATCATCAAACACTTATTTTTACATGCAATGCCTGGACTTAAAACATACATTACAAATTGAAAAAGAAAAGTTCAAATATGAAAACAATTTACTTTGATGTCTCTCTTGGTAATGGATACTGCACGTAAAGATGTCCTCAAAAATACTAGAACACTCTGGACAGACAGCCACTAATGTTTGACATCTGGCACTTTGGTTGGTTACAGCCATCTTTTTGACTACAAACATCAGGACTGGCTCCTCTTGGCATTCTGACTGACTCAGTGAACGGGCTTTATACAAACTGGCCGAGAAGTGAGCGTTCTCTTTCAAATGTGCTTCTGCCTGACGATAGTGACGAGTAGAAAATGGGCAGAAATCACATTTGAAGCAAAAGAATATCTGACCATTTTCTGTGCTATTTATACTGGTTGAACCTGTGACTGGGCCATTGACAACTCTTGTTTCGTTTCCATCTCGTAATTTGTTACTGATAGTCCTCTGTAAGGGAACATGTGTGTCAGTTTTATGTCTTTTGGTACTGGGTTCAGCATCCGATCTATCATGATTACTGTCATCAATGTGTTTTCTTTTCCCTTTCATTGGCTCGCTCAAAGTTGTTTCCATCTTCCCTGGTTTCTGAAGAATTATAAAGTTTAAAATCTATTTACAAAAAACATGGTCATTTCTCATTGGGCCTTTCAATTTTTTTCCATGGTACATTATTTTCCTCAACTTAAAACCTTTTTTGTCTTTTAATCTCCCCCCCCCAAAAAAAAAAAAATAAATAAATAAATAAATAAATACTATAAGTGTCTTGGTCAACTACCAAATTCAATAGTGAATCATCTTCTTTGGAACTTTACTCAACAAATTATTTTTAGAAAATATAAAAATATGTGAAGGTTGCATGAAATGAGTAAATAATTACAGTGATCACTTATACACTGTATACATACGTACCTTCTCACTATTAGTGTTACTCCCAGGTTTTGAATCCATTGTGTTGCTCTCTTCTCTAGAGAGATTCCAGTGTATAGTCGGATCCTTGTTCCTATATTTCTCATAATACGGAACTCCAAAACCTAATTTGTTTTTTATTTTCTGGAACTTACTACTGCAGTTTCTTTCCATGTGAAAAATCAATTTTTCCCTGGCTCGGAGGAGTTGGTTGATGGGATAGGGGCCACTGTACTCTAAAGGTGGGTACTTGTTGTTCATCGTGATTCTGAAATAAAAAGTTTGGAGTCAACATACGGTAATGTGCCATGAACTTCATACAGAAGAAATTACAATTTGTAAAATATTATTTTGTTCAAGTTTCACAACATGGGAGGTGCTTAGAACTTATAGACGTTGAAATTTAATGAAATTCTGTTATTCTGGACTGAAGTTCTTCACTAGGCCTTTTGTTACGTTTTTTCCAACGATCTCTGTGTCAGTTACTATATGGTATAACATGAGACTGTTGGTAACTGAGACCTGAGAAATACAGGTTTCTTAACTCAAGCATTATTGTTTTAGCCCAATGTTTCAAGATAACAATCGGTATGCATTTGGCTTGGGAATTGCAACAATACTGAACGATTGGTTCTGCTTTATTGTACAGGTACAGGGACCGAACCATCAAATTTTGGTGATGAAATGGATTTCAATTTTTACGTATTTGCATCAGTAAAATGCGGCATACTACACTAAGTACATGTGCTGCGTCTATGCGTCTTGACTTAAACATTAAAATGGTACGTACAGTGTACTTAGCAAGAGCCCTCACAGAATTGGACCGAACCAACTAGTACCAAGTGTCTACATCAATGGGGTCTTAACTTCAATATAGAGCTTGTTTTGTATGGCCGGTTAAGTCTGGAATTAATTAAGATTAACTAGGTAGTTAAGATAGTCTGGGACAAGCCCTTGCGACTGAATTGGGCCTCCGGGACCTAACCAGAGGGTTTGGGGATGGGAGTTCATTCCATTTCCAGGCTCCAGGAAAGAAACAGTGGACAGACCACCGTTTTCGTCTTTCTTACAAAGTGATAATAAATTTATTTATCACACACGCCCCGAAATCTTTTTCGGTATCAGTATTCTAATGAGATTGTAGATGCAGGATACTGCTACAATGAAATTGCCCAGATACTACAAAATGTACATACCGCTGTTTTCTTTTCCCTTTCCACTCAGTCTATAAAACCGGAAGTACACGAATCCAGAAACTTTTGTTACGAGCGATCTTATTGGATAGCAGTGCCTGATTAGTTCTTGCCGCTGTTGCAGAAAGAACGGTGATGATTGAAGCTGCTTCGGTTTAAACATTTATATTTGTGCTATTGTTCATTTGAATTCACGATGTTGGTCTGATTGCAGAAGGTCCTAACATGAGCTCTACTCTCACGAATGCATTGAAGGCATACGTGGAGAGAAAACGTGAGTATTACATTTGCAGTTCGTTTCTCACGAAGTTGGGACAGATTACGTTATTGTGTCCCACTTTTCCACTCTTGATGTTCGAATGCATAATTTAGCTCATGAAATGGGGTCTACTGCTACAAATAAGTTAAAGGCACATTAAACCTGGAGAGGAAAAGTAAGTGAACAATTGTGAACTATGTGTCATTCATATAGAACCATGAATAAAATGATAAGAAGTGACTGTTTGAAATTTAAATTTTATAAGTTGTACCTGGCTGACTTTCAGAAAAGAAGTCCAGTGCAGAATCCAAAGAAGAAGAGAAAGAGCATTTTAAGAAACTTTACACAGAATGGAAAGGCCCATCAAAATACAAACAAGACAGTTATCAAAAGATCCCCAAGTTCTATTATAAGGTTTGTTAGCAGCAGTATTTTGAGTAAATCCTGGTATTTTTTATGAAGACATGTAGATAAAAGAAAATAAATTTATCAGTCAAATTCTGTATTTTGTTTATTTAAAATTCTCAAATTCTGTATGGTTATATCAGGCTTGATACCTGCATATTCTTAATAACTCATCTTTTTGTTTATAATTTGTATTAGTATTTGATACTTATTTTCATTCTTTAAGGCATTATATTGGATTACAAAAAAATAAACACTCTATAATGCAATGTGCTGCATAATTTGTTGCTTGAATATCCTGGAAATAAGATTTTATGAACAATATTTTAGGCATTGCAGTTGGGTAAATTTGATACACTGATATGTGGACATGAAGAGATAACACTGAATTGTTTCAATAAAATTGAAATCATTATTAAAGGTTAACATTTTTGTATTCATAGTTACCATCAGAAGACGAAATTTTACTCCAGAAGCTCAGGGAAGAATCTCGTGCTGTATTTCTTCAAAGGAGAAGCAGGGAGCTTCTTGACAATGATGAATTACAGGTAGGTCTGATTAACTTTCTTCCTTAAGACAGGATGAGCACAGTGAGACTAAAAACAATACTAAGTCAAACCTGTGAAGTAAATGCCCAGTAAACCATGACTTATTGGCCTTTGTTCCTTTTTTGCAGTTATAGGTTCTATTGTTAAAATGGTTTAAACCAATTTTCAATCTAGAAATTCAAAAGTGAATAGTCACACAGTACATTTTTTTTACTTTGTTTCATTTGCGAAGCTTAAAATTGTCAGTTTGCCGTTTTGGTATTTGCAACACATAGGAGCATAACTGGGGAGGGGAGGGGGGGCACTTTGCAGCACCTCACCTTATTGTATCATCTGCTTTCAGTCCAGATGCATTATGTTAAAGGGTGGGGATATCTCTGATTCAGATTTTTCCTTTGGATATGTAACACCTGCTGATGGAACAGCCTGAGTGTTGCCCACAGATGACAGATCATCTGAGCACTTATTACTTGACTTACTCAAAATAACTGTTATAAATCTAGACTTTGTATCCTGCAGGGTCTGTGGTTCTTGCTGGACAAGCACCATACACCCCCTATGGTGGGAGAGGAGCAGATGATCAACTTTGAAGACTACCTGAAGGTTGGAGAGCAGGCAGGACCCAAGTGCAAGTTGGTATTTTTGAGATAATGCTGGGTTTTCTCTTGGATTGCAACTTATAGACTCACTCATGGACAAACAAGTTAAATTATTATTGTTATCATTTTTAGTTAGACTTTGTATGTTGTTGTGAGCAACTTAAGATTATGCTTTGGTGCAAAGTTTTCAAGTGTCACAATTTGGCTGTTCATGTGTAGCAAATCACAACTGCAGTTAATTTCCTTTTCTTCTGAAGTAAAGAGGGTTTTCTTATCTTTATTGTATAAAATACCCCAAGCCACTATGAATCTAACACTGCAGCTAGTGTGAAAAAACATTTTAAGGGGGTCTAATGATGACATTTATTTTTGCATTTCAGGCCATTTTTCACAGCCATAGTATTTGCCAAATTGTTGCAGACAGATCCTTATGGCAGAATCTCAATAATGCAGTTCTTCAACTATGTGATGCGGAAAGTTTGGCTGCACCAGACCAGGATAGGTCTGTCTCTGTATGATGTTGCTGGACAGGGATATCTGAAGGAATCTGTATGTATTACTGTACAGTATTTAGTGGTATTTTCCTCTCTGAATAATGTTTTTTTCCATTGAAATATTTTAAATGTCTTCATACCAGGGGGTTGGCATAGGATTGGTGGGTTAATGATGTGACAGACATAGAATAATGTGATGACAATCTTATGACAAGAAGACCAGTGTACATGTATTTGGGCCTGTGTAGAGAAAGGCTGTATTTGCCCAAAATTGAAACATACTGGCATCTTATAACACCAGAGGACAGAAAAACCAGAGTTTTGTCTTAGACTTATAAACCTCTTTTTAGTTGCTCTGGTTGTCTGGCATTGTTTTGTCTTATCCAGAAAGAGTGTATGTTACACACTTAATTACTTGACTTCATTTATACATGAGTTGACTTTGATTTTTTTTTCTGTTTTTAGGACCTTGAAAATTACATTTTAGAACTAATACCCACATTACCACAGGTAGGTTATTTAATACGTTTAATCTGTATTTTCACTGTTAAGTCCCACCTTCAAGAAACGGTATTATGCAATCTCCCCCTCCTTACTCCCAAAGATGAAGAGTTTTGTTAAAACTGATGGGAATTCTCAATAGTTTAAATAATTCAAATTCATATTACAAACTGATGGATTAGTATTCATTATATTATCTGTTTGTAAAAATAGGTAAACTATAATTTTTTGTTCATTTTTCTCTAAGGAGCATTGTTTGGTATATTATTTGCAGCTTGATGGACTTGAGAAATCCTTCTACTCATTTTATGTGTGCACTGCTGTGCGGAAATTCTTTTTCTTCTTGGATCCACTGCGGACAGGAAGAGTGAAGATTCAAGATATTCTTGCCTGTAGCTTTTTAGATGATCTATTAGAGGTAATTTAGGAATGAAAGCTTTTGATAAAATAACCATTTGCATTTAACTTGAAAGACAGGTGGAATGTTAACAAAAAGTGAATACTACAGTTATATTATGTCATGATTAAAATTATGAATTTTTTTTTAATTTAGTATTTAATATTTCCATGGAAAAAAATATTTCAATTTTTTATGTAATGTGATGGATACAAGATATCCATTCTTAATAGCATATGAATTCAATGACAAAGGAAGCGAAGCGACCACAGGGGTGATTGACTTTCATGTGCACCTGGCTTCTGGAAGATTTTTACTTCATTTTGAGTGCGACTGAATGCACAGGAAAGTTAATCGTGTTATGGAGGCGTGTCATTCACTTAATCAGTTTTCATTCAGTGAAAGATCACACGGAGATAGATCAGTCTACCTAATTTTATTGTGAATGCATCCCTAGTTTCAGCACTGGTTGACAAGTATTATGGATTCATTCCTCCTTCCATTTTATAGTTGCGAGATGAAGAGTTATCCAAAGAGATGCAGGAGTCGAACTGGTTCTCTGCACCATCTGCTCTCAGGGTGTATGGCCAGTATCTAAATTTGGACAAGGATCACAATGGAATGCTCAGTAAGGAGGAACTGGCAAGGTAAGAATGGGCAGGTCACACCAATCTGAAAAGTAATTTCATATATCTGTTTAAGGCTCGACTCTATTTAAACTAGCTTGAAATTAGACTTCAGTTAGTCTGCTATATTTACCATAAAGCACTTTATCGAAATAGGTTTAAATTCAGGCACACACATCATGGAAATGTAGAGATCATTATTATGCCAGTGATGACAGTAATAGCTTTACTTACCTACAAAATAAGGTTCAACTTCTTTCATTGTCATCCTCACCAATCTCAATCTTACCTGCTGGTTTCTTTTCTGATAGGTATGGCACAGGGACTTTGACTGATGTATTTTTAGATCGGGTCTTCCAAGAGTGCCTTACATATGATGGAGAAATGGTAAGTCATTCAAAGGTCTATGTATGGTGTTATTAATATTAAATGATATAAACTACCTACATTACCATTTACTAAAAGTTGTCTGTTACCACTTTTTGAAAAGTAATGGTGTTTATAATGAAATTTTGTCAATGCTCACTGCTTTCTATACGTCCTAGTAGTTGAGGTGTAATTTTTTCAATTCAGGACTACAAAACATACTTAGACTTTGTGCTTGCCCTGGAAAATAGAAAAGAGCCCCAAGCATTGCAGTACCTGTTCAGGATCTTGGATGTCCAGGGAAAAGGAGAACTGATTGTTTTCTCCTTAAATTACTTCTTTAGGGTGAGTGTCGTAGGTAAAAGAAGGATGGTGCTTGTATAAAAATCTAAATCAACACAATCCATTTCAGCAAATTTATTTGCCTTATTGAACACAGGCATTCTAGTTGAGATAGATTGTATGCCATTGGATTGGCCTTTTTTATTGTGAGCTCACTGTAATGAGATGACCTGTTGAGGTAGGTAGCATGGATAAAGATCTACCCCACTTGCCTGGAAGCATGGTAAGTGTTGATCAAATGGAGTGGATTCAATATGTAATATCCCATCGTGATTTTATGGTCTGTGATGCTAGATAAGTAGAATTTCTTGTTACATTTTTAAAACTTTGTGTGCTGTAACATTTTATAAAATGCCTGTGAAGTATGTGCACTAACCAGAGTAGTTGGTTGAAGTTGTTCGAATAACTTGTAAATACTCAGATTTGATGAAGCAAAATCAAGACACCTGCTTTATTTTTAGGCTATTCAAGAACAAATGAAGTTGCATGGACAAGAGCCAGTGTCTTTTCATGATGTTAAGGATGAGATCTTTGACATGGTGAAACCTGCGGATCCCCTCAAAATAACTCTGCAGGATCTTATAAACAGGTAATGGTTGTCTTTATGTGATGTAAATTAAAGTCATATGAGTTTGGTCAGACTTGGACAACTTTCAGGTTTCTTCAGGATTACATTTTTGGTTGTTCCACCAAACAATGTTGTATGTTTTATATAAACATCAAATTGTATTTAAAACTAAATGTTAGAGTTTTTAAATGAAATTCATAGTTGGGTGCTTGAAAACCTCGTTTGTAATAGGACACTTGTATTATTCTAGCTGATGCAATTAATGGCTACCATAGTGTACATATCCCATGTAATGTCTTCCTTCACAACTCACTTTTAACTTATTCAAAAATTCATATTTTGTCTTCAGCGGACAAGGAGATACAGTGGTCAGCATACTGATAGATTTGAATGGATTCTGGACATATGAAAATCGGGAGGTACTTGTAGCAGATACAACAGAGGAGGCTGAAATTTAAGGTCCAAGCCCTTAAATGGGAAGTAGATTTTAAAAGAATGAAGATTGAGGGAGGCTCCCCTTTGTCCAGCCATTGGCCCAGTGTTTGCTGCTCAAAGAATGAGGTTTTCTGACCAAAGAAGAGAAATTCTCATCTCAAAGGTTGCATGCCCTACATATTCCAGGTCTTGTATTGCATGCTGAAACTGTATTTTTCAGGGTTGCCGATATTGTTTCCTATAATTTTTATTGTGTTGTTCACAATTTGATAACACTTGTAATGCTAGTGAATTAATAACAAAGAATGTGTGAAATATGCATTATTGTGTACAGTTGGCAGCCCTTATTACACAAGCAGTATACAGAGATTGTCACTGCTACATCTGCATGCAGTATCTAGTGTCTGATGTCCATGTGAATGAATTAAACATCATAGAGTTCTTGGTACTGTAATACAAAGCTGACTTGGAACTGTTAATATTGAAAATTTCTGACAAACTGTGAATGGTTAATTAGAGTTATGTTGGAGATGTTTAAAGAATTCCATGTTGAATGATTTTCTGATAGCAGACAGTTAATTTATTAATTATTTAATTAATTTATTGATGGTTATTTCACATGCTTTTATTTGAGTGTTTAAATTTGATAAAAATTGCATGGAACTGGCTTTCATCCTGGTTTTTGTCTTGGATTGTTGATCTTGCCTGGCATGGCTTGTTTTCCTTTGGCCTTCTCTATATTTTTTTAATGCAGAGGTTTATATCTTTACAAATGACAAAGGAAGATGTACCCTCTGACTATGGCTTTACGAGATGTGTTATGTGTAGTATTTTCATGCTGGCCTCCATACACTATGCCTGTATTATGTTTTCTAACTGGGGCCTCTCGTCACCCAGAATCACATTGTATTCCCTTTTGCAGAGAGGCATTGACCGATTCCTTGCTGTACCTTTGCTTGAATATAACAAAGCCGCCATTGTCGTAATGAAGTTTCACTGTAGCTTTGGACATGAGGAAGGGATCAGAAGTGCCCTTATCTTAATTACCAGTCCCTGCAGGCTCTTTTGTTCCCCTGGTGTCAAACAGCTGGCCTAGTTTCCTGAAGTCTAAGTCTCTAGTTGCTCCACCAGCAGCAATTGCTTCATTACTGAGCCCTCCCAAGTTGCTGTTATTATTTTATAAAGTAGCTGAAGATGGGGATGCTGGAGTGAAGTACCTTGCTATGGGTTTCTCGGGGTATTTGAAAACCCTACATCTCATCCCTACAACTCATCTTTGGTCTCCTTTGTTAGACTGATAGTTCTGTGCTTCCTTTATCTTTGACATCAAATCATTGCATAATGGCTATGAAAAAAATGTCCTCTCTTTCTTCTCTTTTGGATGCCTTGTCTCTCCGCCTCCAATTATCGTTCTTCTGTGAGACGCTAATATTCTGATTAACTCTTAAAATTGTTCCTGAGACATGTTAACTGTTCTGTTGCTTCTGTTTGTGCGTTTACTAAATCAAGGTCCTGGTGAGCTCACCACTAAAGTTTTTTGCCATTACAGGTCTTTACAGAGAACTTGTTTTATATCTTTCACTGAGAAACTGGAAGAATAGTGCTGTAAGGGATGGATTATTAGGAAAAGCTGAATTGCCTGTCAGTTCATAAAATTCTTGTAAAAAAAGATTAAATTTTATCACAAGTGTGGTGTGTGCTTGGAGCAGGTGCTGCCTCGACATACGTGTTTAGGTCAGCCATGAGGCGATTGGCAGCTTGATTCTTTGGATGTATGTTGAGTGTGATGCTCTTGTAAAGCTGACTCGACGTAGATTGGGCCCCTTGTACCCAAATGCCTAGTCTTTCAATAGGCTGCTGAGTTGCCAGCGTGGCGGTATTGATTGAAACAGGATGAACACCTGTGGGAGTAGTTGCAGATGCAAAAGTTGCAGTAGTTGTCGGCATTCCATGTATTGCAAGTGGGTTTGGTTTGGAGGCGAAAAGTGTTTTGGGGAGCCATGGTCACAAATGCAATTTCTGTAAGAATTACACAGACTTCCCACTTGCATTTAAGGGCAGCCCTTTTCATCCAGAACCATTCGTCATAGAGACGCCAATTTGTGATTTTATTAGTACCACCAGCGTGTACGCTGGCGGTACTCATGGTTTTAGTCCCGACCCGTCTCGTCCGGCTCCGTTGGCTCCGTTTGCNTTTTTTTTTTTTTTTTTTGCATATTTTGAGAATTCTTGTTGATTGCATTTTATAGAGCTTGTCAAGCACAAGACTGGTGGTGGAGTCCCTTTTTTTGGGTGGGGGGTCCATACGAGTGCGCTTACTCCAGCTGGTGGTACAATATCCGGAGGCGGTATCGCCTCTCTGATCCTCTAGTTGGTATACATTTCTAGTATATGGTTTTGGTAAACAATGAGGTTAACTGTTTCAGATGGAAATTTCTGTGCATACACAGCCTTAAATACTCCAAAACCAACTAGCCACTGGAAGATTGAGGATGTTCTTGGGAGCATTTGTGGGGTTGCTGGGGACTGTATACTTCCTGGCAACAGTTGTGAAACCATTGTCTAGAAAACATTTTTAACATTCAGTTTCTTCTGTAGTGCTGATAGTTATGATGACGGCAATCAAAAAACAAGTTTTGTTCAGGCTGTGGTTATTATATTCTATGAAGAACAATATAACTGACAGCATAAAAAAGAATAAGAATTAGAAAGTAAAAAATCATTTAATTTGCAAGTTAACATTAATTTATCCTTATAACATTAAAACAGATGTGTTGCACATGCTCTGTTGCTTCTGTATCCAAAAGTCTTCTTTATTTGGTAATTATCTTTGGAAGGAGTTGCTGGGATTTTTTTTCCTATGGGCCTATTTCTCTAATCTTTCTGAACTTTGAATCTGTGGTTATGAAATCTTAATCTTCTCTCTTGGTGGTCACGTTTCTAATGGCTGTGCTACAATTCAAACATAAAAAACAGTAAGATCTGTTGAGTACAAACTCTGTAATGCCTGAGCAGCAGTAGGTCCTTTCTTGAAATTTACATTAAGCCCTACTCTTCTGTAACCCTTTTCCCTAAACTCAAAACTGTATGCAGCAAAGACAGACCTCACTTTGGTTTGTTTGAACTGACATCTTTATGATCTGAGTGAAAGTAATTTTGAGTTTTTTACTTTGAAATTCTGTTTCAGTGACCTTATTTTCATCAATTCAGTTAATTGGCAAATGTGTGAGTTGCCTCACAATCCTGGTGCCATGATAAAACCAGCCAAGTCCAGACACCCAAGCACACTCGGCTTGCTTTAGAAATTATGTGGACCACAGCTTCAGTATCGGAGTATTTCTTTTTGTAAATCAAAACGCTGGTTTTGACTGACCTGTTCATCATGCCCCGCAAAAAAATTTTCTCTCGGACCAGAAGACATTGTGTCAGAGCTGTGATATAATTGGGCATCTTACCCACATAGTCTTGATTTTCAGGGGTGTTAAAGAAGTAAGGGAAATAACCCATTGTAAGGGATTCATCTAGTCCAAATGTGGCTGGGAGTTTGTTGAGCGCCATGGGGAGAAAGCTGTAGGAATCTAAAACGGTAATTTTCCCCATCTTAATAGGAAGCACTTTGGCGCCTCTTAGTATCACCTCAAGGGTGATACACTGGTCCTTGAGCCATTTCAGAAGGAAAAACCTGCTGTAACCAGACATATTGTGTACCAGCAACACCGCTCCATAATGTATGATCATTTCCCCATCATTATCCTCCACGTGGTAATCATCACCTTCCTGAAATGATGGACCCCCACATTCGTAATTCATATAAAGACTGATGGCTTCGTCCGACAGGGCCTTTCCTTCGACCATCGTGGCCCACACCCACCGTAGAGTGAGTCCTATGGTGCTCTTTATGTCCTCGTCGGTCCTCAGGGCACCATGCTGGTGGATTGGTAGCTTCCTATCATCGGCTAGTGCCGGGTCAATACCAACTGCCACACCTGCTTCCCAGGTGCCATTGAACACAGGAAGGTCAACGTTCCAAGGCATGATTCTAAAAGCAGGACATAATTTAATTACCGATAATTACTAAAGTTTGGAATCAAATCCACACAGTTTGTCAACGGATTTGGACATTCAGGCATTCTTCTGGACCCCCACATTTCACCGTTTATCACAAGCGACCTTTGTCATTCTTTTCCTTTTACCCTGTTTCTAACCAAAAAAACTGGTCTTCAAATATCCACTGAAAGAAATCATCAGCACAATTTGGAGCCTTAAACACATTTCCATTTTAGCCACATAGTTCACATGTACTGGTAGGGGTTACGTCTAAATTCAGACAGTGGGCGACCACAAGGTTATGAGTATGGACATGCAATGGTTGCGCCTCAAAATAAAGAAAAAATATGAAAGGACGTTTTGAGCCAGGTTCGATCTTCCCAATGAAATTGGCAGAAGCATTCTCATTGATGTAATGAAGCAAATTGTCTTCATCATTATCACTGATATCTTTCTCAATTTGCATGTAACATGAGTGACCATCCTCAACAAACTTATGACAAGCACTGCACTGGTAAGTGTTACACTTGTTTTTCTTCTCATCAATGATCGACAAATTAGGTGCACTTTTTACTGAGAAAAAAACCTTTAACAGGCAGACCATTTACCAGTTTCTTGGGTCCATCCCTGTTCGTATCTTTCGCAAAAAGGTTACGCTTTTTATTAAATCTTATCGTATTTCCAACTTTTAATTAAAAACCTGTCTTCATTCTTGGTTACTTTTGCCACAAACAGTCCTACATACATCGTAGACCATTCTAGTGAGGAAGGTGTCAGGGACTAACGCATGGTTCTGTTCATCCACGTCTTTGCGAAAATCTTCCAGCGACAATGATGATTGAAAGAATGTATGGATTCTCTTGCTGCTTCAGTTTTTGTGTCAGTAACTTGTATGCCTTCAGTATTGCCTCATGACTAACAGCAGCTTTTGCCCTGGTGAAGTAAATATGTACCGAAACTGCCCAGTCGTCCATACACATATCCATATATGAGGTACTGTTTTGTGGAATCCTGCTCGTCACTTCAAGAGTGTATGCCAACTGTCGCACCCTGTAAAAGTAATAAAAAGAGAAAATTCCTGTTACAACAGATATTGTTATTATAACAGTTGGTAGGGAAATGAAAATTGAAGGGTATGACAACATAGCGAAATCTTCATCCACTGCTTGATCTAGCCTGGAAGAATAAACTATTTTATTATTTTTCAGCAATGTAGCAGTTTTATTCGAAGTCAACGCTAAAATCATTTTCTTTACTCACAATCTTAACAAAGTTTTGGGTACCCCATGCCTACATATTATTTCATCAAAAAGCAATCTTGCAATGGTAGGTGCTGTAATGCTGGGTACCGGGAACACTTCCGGCCATCCAGTTAAACTGTCCATGAATGTTACCAAATTCTTAATCCCTCGACTTGTAACTGGCAGAGATGTTATCCAGTCAAAAGACAATCTATCAAAGCTGCCTTCCAAGGGCAAAGGTAACAATGGAACCCTAAAATCTTTTGGAAGGTTTTTCTTTTTCAAGCATTCAACACAAGAACACACATAATCAACAACATCTGCAAACTGACCTCTCCAAATATACTTCATTCTTAATGCCAAATATGTTTTTAACACCACCCTGACCAATTGTGGTATCATTGTGTAAACTAGACAAAACTTTGTACTTCAGCTTGTCTGGAATTTCAAGTTGTAAATGACCTGATTTGGTCGATTTCCTTCGTTTGGAGACATAAATATGACGTAAAAAACGTCTATCATCACGTAATCTCCGATTTCTAACAACAAGCCTCGAGCTTCTTTGCTACTAAGTGGTAGTTCATCTGATGTCAAGTACGCAATAATTGACGCAAGGTTATATCTTCACGCTGGAGTTTTAACAATTCTTCTTTTGAAACAAATGACTGGAAATCTTGACATTTCAACAAGCAACCTGTTTTCTTTGTCTTTTCTTTAATTGCTAAAAGTATTCCACACTTATCTGATCTTTTGTCACTCTTTTTAGAGTTAAGATGGCATCTGACGTCCGTGTTTTGTTCAAACATGTGTCATTTGGAATCGAACTCTGCGCTGGGTCAAAAAGATTGTATAAGTCTAATTCTTCATCGTTTTCCATGTCATAAGGGCGGCGGCTAAGCGTGTTTGCATTTGCATGTATTTTCCTTTTCTGTATTCAATAGGGAGGACAAAGTCATCCATCAACACAGTCTTCCACGCAGTTGTTTTTGTGACAATAATCATTTATGGCTATCATGGTCTGTGATGACTTTGAATTTTGAATGCCTAAGGTAAATATCGAAATTTTTTATACTTTGTACATCTGCTAATCCTTTTATGTGATGGGATAATTTTTCTTGTGTCTTTTTAAACCTCTCACGGCATAAGCAATGACTTTTTTTACCGTCTTGTATTCGTGATAAAACCTTTTATGCAAAGTGTTGTTTTCCTATTCCTCTGATATCCCGCCAAGTGTCAGCAATTAGTTTTTCTTGCTATTCCACCCTTCGCTGTAGATTTTTCTCAGTTTCAGAGATAGACGTTACAATCTCTGGCTTATCTTTCTCAACCAGTATAGTTGCAATCATTGAGCCTAGTCTCGCATGATTCTCTGCTTCTTCTAAAGAGAAAGGGTTCTGTGTAATGACAAAACGTTTAATTTTGTTCCCTAACCCTCTCACGAAATACAGGAGTCTGTCATCAGCGCTTTTATTAAGCAGAGAAAGAGGGTGTCACATATCCACAATATAAACCTCAATAGATTCATTCTCTTTGTTTTCTTTCCCAGAGTTTGTGTTCTCTAGTCCATTTTGAAATTTGCCTGTCGAAATTGTTTTGAAATTCAGTTCTAAGGATATCATAACTCGTTTTTCTTTTGTCAGGCAATTTGGATAAACATATTTCAGCAGGACCTTTCATGTATAGCATAAAAGCGTTCAATTCCTTATCTGGGGAATACTTATTTAAATTGCAGTAATTTTT